CACAAAGCGCAAAGAAGCACAAAACTTAAGTTCGATTGGTTTAAGGTGACGCGACTTTCCTAGACTAATTGAGGAGAGTAATGAAGAAAAAAATTGATGGAGTAAAGGATTTCTTTTGAAAACCAATTGAAAATTACTCGAACATGATGCGTATAAACTAAGAATCACACTGACTTACGGGCTTTTCCTTTACCAGCTTCCACCGTCGCACAAACCACCCAAGCAGCACCAATCAGAATCAGAGCAATCTTCATTGTGGATAAGCGTCTTCTTTTGCAACTGAAAAATAAAGCTTCTTGTAGAGTAAACTCTTCTGCCTCGGTCAGATCTGCCGTGAGGTTTGCTTGAATATCGTCTAGTATATATTAGACTCACAAATCTAAATATTTAAAAAATGTTCCCATCCTTTTGTTCCCAAGCAACAGGTTATAAAATCAACACCAATCACCACTCGTTCAATCTTGATTTTTACGACACTTCAGCCGCCCTTTCTAGCTTGTAGCTGTCTTGTTATGTGATTTCAAATGATGTTTTCTTCTTTTTTTTCTATTGAATCTTTCCTATTGATTGGTATTTTACAGGTTTTTATTTATGAATGAAGAAACTTTTTATTGTCTCGTAACGTGTTTTCACTTTTTTCCTAGTTTCACATTAACTCCTTAAAACCCTTTTTATAGATATTAGTGTAATTCCCATTGTTAAGAATGAGGAATGTGTGAGCTCTTTAGCCAGGCAGCAAATCAGACGTTTAAAAACAGACGTTTGCATAACACCATGGTACAAAACACTGTACAGTAGAGGAGCGACAGTGAAATAGGAACATATAATGATAAGGATTCGTTGTGTTTTAACACGGCATTAGGAATCAGGGGAGAGCATGCCTTGTGGACCAATTGGTAAAAATGGCCGATCCATTTGGGAAGAGTTGTGTGGAGACTGACGGCTTAATTCTGCTCTTGGAATCACAGGATCCTTGAGTTCACTATAGCGCCAGTTTAATTTAGGTTTATTTCTGTTACGTATAGTTAGCAAAAAGAACTATTTCTCTTTTGCTAACGCTGTTTTGTTACAAAGCGTTTGGTTATGATCATGAATAAGGGGATCCACCAAACAAAACAAGTTCGCGTTGTAAAATGTATGTAAGTGGTGCCACAATAAATAACCAGTTTTCTTTCCCAAAGGGGTGGTAACACCACCAAGATTACCTCGTAAATTATTCAGCTAGAAACGCCTCTTCGGATATTAGCTTTTCCTCTTTACAAATTTGTCAGCAAGGATCGCGAAAAGCCAATGAGAAACTTAGGTGCTTTGTGACACGCTAAATTAAACTTTGAAACTCATTCTTTGTTTTATGTTGAATTTCTAGGCTTTTATGAGAATACATCAGGCAACTTCTCTTTTTTTCTTGATTTTTTTCCCTGATTTTCTAAACCCTCTGATAAGAAACTTACATCTTTTTAAAAAAAAAAAGGCTTTCTCCTTGAATACTTGTGTGCTTCGATTCTGAGCGAAGAAATCAATGATAACTTTTTTTTTATCATTCAAAAAAAAAAAAAAACCCGTTCGGGTTGTCAATCCTTCTCTACCTAGATCGGCTGCAAGTTCACATATCTCAACAAAATAACGTTGAGCACTGGGACCAATGTTGATTCTGAACTACGATATGTCAGCGGCTTATCATTTATTCATATTCACCTTATGTGAACCTAGCTTCGAAAATTTTAATTTCACGCGCGAAAGATGAGCTAGAAAGAAAAATCGATAACTTTCAGTTGTGTGAATTATGTGGAAGACTGGTGTATTCTCGTCAATTAGCTGATCACAGGGCGGTATGTGGAGCAGATTTGTCCAACGAAGATCATAAGTGCGCGTTCACACAAGATGGCGTCCTGCACGCTCTCGTTGTGGAGAAGAACAACGAAATTTTTCAGGTTCGTCAGATAGATTTGAGCAAAGGTTAACAGTGTCCAGTGATTTTGCTTTAAAGTTTAACCCAAGTATTTGCGCTGAATTAATCCTAGAGTTGCTTAAGTTCTGAGTTAGAACGACTGTCGGTCTAAGGAGAAAATAGGGGTCGTGGGTTTTTTTCTAATTGAGGGGAGGGGGGGGGGGGGTTGGGAAATGCTTTTGGTTTTGATCAGTCACAGATTAGTCATCACCAGCCCCAGTCATTCTTAAACCTCAGTGAAAGGATTTTTACTTAGGGAAAGACTTCCCGAAGTTATCATTAGTTGCTTACAAGAGGTTTAAGTTTAATTTCTCATGTATAATTTAACTGTGACTATATCAGAGAGTAAGCTGCCAGTATGCAATTTTATCAAACAAGGCCCTCTTCACCAAGTTTCCCCTTCTTTAGGTTTCAGGGGGTGGATTCATCAGCATTAGAGCACTGAAAAGGCTTTGGCTACATGCTACGAGGGTGGAACTTGAGTTGTGGTAAGACAGAAGAAAAAACTTAACGATTTTCCCATCAACATTTCACCTACACGAATTTCTCTTAACGTGAAATATTCCATTTCCACAAAAAACTCGAAAGTTACTCATATTTTTAGCTTCCTTGATCAATCTTGTATAACGAGCTATAAAATGTAGGTTCATTTGCTCAAGTGGCCGCCGAGAGCCAGAATTACGTGAAAAGTGTAGCTAAGAGAAGCTTGTCACTGTCACAGATTTTAAGAAGCATCCAAGACAAAAATACGGCAGTGCCCAAAGGATTTTTTGATGCTTTTTAGAGATGAAATAATGGATTAGAAAGGGGAATTAAAATTAGTGTTGTAGCTGTCTGACAAGGGGATATATTTGACCTCAAAGCTATGTATATTTGGATGAATCGAAAAGTCTAAACAGTCATTTATTTGCCTCTGGTGATTAGCAAGCCGTCAATCTAATTGACTGATACTTGCGTCGTGCATCCATTTAGGATGTAACAATACGTTTACGAACCCTCAGAGTAATCGGCTAAATACCAATGCAATGAGAACTTTACACATTTTACCTATTTTAAGAAATTTCCTCGGTGAAACCAAAAAAAACTGGGGGGTGGTCTTTCTCCCCCCGGAGAAAACGAAAACAGAAACCAGTTTGTCTATTGAGTTTTGGGGTGGACCCTTTAAAATGTACTTAGGACGTTCCTTGCCCGCAGAAGTCTACGACTGAAAAAGGTTAAGAAAATTTCTCAACACTTATATAAAACGTTTTTGTTCCTGTTGTAGATTTTGAAGCTCAAAAAGAATGCAGAGGAGCAATTTCGGATATCTGCTCTACAATGTCCTTCACGAAACGTAATGGAAGTAAACTGCGATTCGCTTGATTCATCTTATTCCGTCAATGATCTCAGTGCGGATTCAAAACTTCAGGAAGAGATAGCAACGCTCAAGAAAGAAATACGTACAATTAAACTTAACCACGGAGAAAGTGCAATTCCAAACCTGTTGATTAGAATCGCCGACTCGGTTGAAAATGGCCGGGAGGGAAAATCTTGCGCTCAGTTGCCTGAAACACCGCTGACCAGACCCCAATTACAGACAGCCTCCTTGTTTTCTGTGCCCTCGTTAGCCGTAGTAATAAATATGCTTTTAATTTACTAAATTAACAACCAAATAGCGTCGTAACTTGAACGAGGGAAAATAGTGTAAATATGGGATTGGATTCGGAAAACAGACCCTCTGTCTTGGTGAGGAAATCATTCAAGCTGAATAGTATTTTCAACCTGAGAATTTTGTGTTCCTCTACAACAGCTTCAGCAGCTTCTTAGTGTGGACCTCGGTGGTCGCAGACCGGGATCTTTCCGTCCCTCCTCTTTCACAAGACCACCTCCCATTAGTCGCTCCCAGTCCTCGGCCGAGTTGCGCTGCGACTAGAAAGAAACCCCATCTGATGACAAGAAAAGACCCATTAGCCCTCTAGCAATAAACGCCGTGAGACGATTTAGCTTTGGGGGCATCGACAAAAGACAAGATTTCTGGGCAAGCACTGAAAATCCATGTGTTGGGACAACGCAGGCGGAGGCTGAAGCAGACGAGTCTTTAACAATTGTATCAGAATCTCTTCAAGTTGTGATAAGCGAAACCAGAAGCACGGGAAAAACTCCCTCTATTATTCGTAGAGATAACATAGATGGCTGCGAGTCGAATAAAGAAATTTCTGACATCGGCGAAAGAACCAATGTGAGATTTAGCGGTGATGAAGATGAAAATATAATTAATTTGAGGTCGGTAAATGCAATGGATGAACATATTGAGAAACTTTCCATTCTCAGTCTTGAGATAGAAGATGCCATGATAAGCAGCCAAAATGCAATTCCGAAGATCGTGCGTCAGGATCGACTGTTTTCTTCAGAACCAAAAAACGATAACATTTCCGATCCAAAGTCGAACTCTTATCGTGAATCATCGAACGAAAGTGTTCAAAACCTTTTTGGTGTTGAGACTTCTAGAGTGGTACTCGATGATAATGACAATTTGCAAAGTACTGTAATACTACAAAACCCATTAGTGGCTAATGATTTCGATACAAATCAAGAATTTCCTGCGGAAATAAAAAACTTTTTAGGTCAGACTGAAGAAAAAGTGGAATTGTCAGACTCGAAGACACTTGATTCCCCAGTACATAAGGTAAATCCTACGCGAACACAGAAAGCTTCATGTGACCGAAGTGCAAAGGACTTTCCGGCTTACATGAGGAAAGTGCAAAGAAAGAAGGAGAAAAAGAAAAATGACAAAATAAAAAAATATTCTTTGTATAATCAATTCTGACAAACAAACTCGTCAATCATCGAGATATTTGTTTAACCAATCAGTATCATGTGAAAGTGTTTAGGGAAAAAGAGAAAACATGGAGTCTTATCTGAAATATAAAGATGCAAAAAAAAAAATCTCTGGCGTCCTCCATCGTCATTGGGGCTGAGATCTGGGTGGAGATTTAGGCGAGGTTATAAGGGAATTACCTGACCCTTCCTTGGAAATTTATTACCTGACTCAAATTTGACTCATTAAAACAAATAAGTTTCCATGCTATCAGATTTATTTCAGTTTTGGCCCAAATTTTTCACAATTTCACATTCCTTTTCAACTCGCTAGTGCTAAATCTGCGGATTTGTTCAAGAATTTTTTTTAATCTCTAAGGAAGGCTGTTAATTTCCAGGTTGTGTCTCCTGAAGATCCCGCTCTATTATTCGATGCAAGCATCTTTGGCCTGTAAACCCATCAGCACATATACAACCTAGTTTCCTAGGACCAAGTTCCAAGGCGAAACACGTTCCCCCATTCGCACAGCCTATTTTTTGAACTTCTTCGGCCGTACAAGCTGAGGGAAGAAAAGACATAAACGAAGGGAACGGTTATTATTGGTTATGTTATGATAAAACTTACCTTATCCCTTTATAACGCTCTTTAATATACTCATGAACCTTTCCCTCGTTGGCAGTTAATTGGCTGTCATTTTTCTATACTATATTGGAGACGAATGATCCCCCTCCGTCCCCCCCCCCTACAAACCATGTAATCCCCCGCCAAATAATAAAAAAATGGCTGGCTCCTTATTCAACAATTAGTCGCCCCCTGAGATTAGGTAGGGGCTGCCTAAATGCACCAAGCAGAGTCTGTTAGAAGAAAACATATTAAGAGTTCGAATCTTCTGACATAAAGCTACGATCTTCTGACATGTTAATTATCATCACGATCTGGGGCAAAGACGAAGTTTAGTCTGTGTTTTTGTTTATGTATAAATTGTGTTTTGTAATTGATGGAGATGTCGTTATATAATACTCTTTTCCTCGCACTATACTATAACGAGGTAAAATAAAAAATATCAAGAAGATTGGTAATCTAACTTTGGAGGGAAGATATTTGGGTCTGCAAGGAAAAACTTACGTAGGTCGTGACTTCCTTCGCCATCACCTTGAAAGCAAAAAAAAAGATATAGAAGTTTTACATAACCTCTTTATTACTATGACAAATAGTCAAAACAAGTTTTGCGGACTAAGGACTGAAGAAAAAGCGAGAATGTTGAATAATTTTTAACGAGAAGATACCGGTTTTTATGCTCATCGTGAAGGGAATCACTTGAAAAGAACGGAACACTTTATTAAACGGCTAACCAATTGAACTGTTGACATTTACCAGGGTTACTTAAATCTCAAAGTAAAAACATACAAACTTCTCGAAGAGGGAAGCAAATGGTTTATGCGTGACACACATGATTAGGCCCAAAATTAATGCGAGAGGCGTGAATTTTACAGAGGCAAGGTAACGTGAAATTTCAAGATTTCCTTTCGATGCTTGAAATACTGTTAATAGAGAGTTTTAATTCCACGTTTGGTGTGTTCACCGCTATCGTCAAATCGAGGTCATCAGTTTGTGGTTAATAATAATGTAATAATAACCTTTATTTAACGTGGTCAAATGTTCTTAGCTAATTAGCTACTTTACAGACATGCCACGAAAAATGCATAAATAAACTAGAAATATTAATAGAAAGAGAAGATTTCTCATAAAAACCTCTATAAAAATATATTTATACAACTAAAAAATTATTAAAACTAAGAGTAAATCACGATTAAAATGTAAAATTTGAGAAATCAAACATAGACATCAAGTTCCTAAATGTTGCGATTTTATCAGCGGCACGAAACTGATCCGGAAGAGTGTTCCAAATCTTAGCTGCAGTATAACGCCACGATTTAAGACCATAGGTGATTGTATTTACTTTGGGTAGCTCGAGGATGTGTTTTCCTCTAAGATTATAATTAGTTGATCGTTCGTGCAATAGCTCTTATTCCTGTAGGGACTTAATACCCATGGATAGCTTTGTAGACACCGGTGGCCATTTTAACAATTCTTTGATTAAATGGAGACAGCAAGTTTAGTTGTTTTAGCAACGTCTCGTACGTGGTTGACTTGTCACGGGTCACAAAGCGAAGGGCTCGTTCACTGACTTTTTCAAGTTTGCCGGAACCTCTTCTACCACAGTGATGCCACGACTCTGAGCAGTAATTGAAATGCAGTGCAATGAAAGCACGATATGTATCTATCCTTGGTTCAAAAGGCAATATTTTCTTCAGACGATTGAGAACAGCAACCTGTTGACTTACTTTACAACAGAGTTTACGAATCTGTCCCTCAAACTTAAGCTTGTTATCGATAGTGACGCCAGGGAGTTCCATTTTATCTTGAATAGGGATAACGGTTCCTTCACAGGTCAACACAGGATTTCTCTCGACCCTTCCAAAAGTAATTGCTTGATATTTTTAATGATTTATTTTCATTTGGTTGAATTTAAACCACTCATCAACCTTTTCAGATCAGCACTTATGGCAAGTTGGTCGATATTTTTCGCAGACTTGAACAATTGAGTGTCATCGGCATACGTGAATACTGTGCATTCATTCATAGCATAAGACACGTCATTCATGAAAATATTAAAGAGAATGGGACCCAAAATGGATCCCTGGGGGGACACCCTTGATTATAGTTTTCATAGAAGAGTGTTGTCCCGGCAATCTAACACGTTGCTGTCTGTCGCTTAAATAATTCGTTACAAGATTGATAACTTTTGAGTCTCCACCGTAATCTTCAAGCTTTTTAACAAGGAGATCATGGAGAAGGGTGTCAAATGCTTTTGACAGGTCCATAGACACCAGACTAATAACTTTGTGATTATCTAATTCTTTCTTGAATTGTTCAGTTAGACTAAGGATAGCTATGTCGCACCCATGAAAATCTCTATATGCAAAGACATTGTTACGAAAAACATCTTCAAAGTGTGAAGCAAGTGGTTAGAAGCAAGAAGTCTCGAGATTTTCAGCTTCTTAGCTCGACGTCGGCTTTCATCCGAAAAAAAGAATCATCATGTGCGTCGCCATCTTGAGTTACATAAAAGATGGGGGTCCTTCATTTCAAACACAAAACGTGGCTGAAAGATTAGTTTTCTAGCGTCCCAAATGGATTGGTTATAAAGAAAAGACTTCACTTCATATATATCTATTGGAAGTACATGAGAACTTTCGAACAAGAAGAGAAAAAACGTCGAGGGAGTTCAACTAACTGAAACTGCCTTGCCCAAAGTTCAAACGTGGACGGCAAACGGCGAACGTCACCGCAGGAGTCTGGTCACGTGACTCTTAGAAGTTTGCGGTCACACGTATTCAGAAAAAAACGTGGATCTAAAACTCCCTTAAGTTGAAAGTATACGTGCAGTGCCCCCTTTAAAGCGAAAAGAAGCACAAAACTGAGGTTCGATTGGTTTAAGGTGGTGCGAGTTTTCTTGGCTAATTGAAGAGAGTAATGAAAAAAAAGTTGATGCAGTAAAGAATTACTTTGAACAACCAATTGAAAATCACTCCAACATGATGTGTATAAACTAAGAATTACACTGACTTACTGGCTTTTCCTTTACCCTGAGCTTCCACTGTGGCACAAACCATCCAAGCTGCAGCAATCAGAATCAGAGCAATCTTCATTGTGGATAAGCGTCTTCTTTTGCAACTGAAAAACAAAGCTTCTTGTAAAGTAAGCTCTTCTGCCGCTCTTAGATCTGCTGTGAAATTTGCTTTTATATCGTCTCGCATATATTAGAATAACATATATAAATATTAAAAAGAATGTTTTTGACCTTTTTTCCCCAAGCAACAGGATATAAAATCAAAACCAATCACCATTCGTTCAAATTTGATTTTTACGACACTTAAGCCGCCCTGTCTAGCTTGTAGCTGTCTTGTTATGCGATTAAAAAAGAAGTTTTGTTCTTTTTTTTCTATGGAATCTTTCTTATTGACTAATTAACGAGTTTTTATTTTTATTTATGATGAGGAAAAACCTTTTATTTTGTCACGTACCAAGTTTTTACTTCTTTTCCTAATTCCTATTAACTCCCAAAGATCCTGAATATGGTTATTTGTGTAATTCCCATCGTTGCGAATGAGGACTGTGTAACCTCTTTGGGCTTCAGGCAGCAAATATGACGTTTGAAAAACAGACGTTTGCGTAACACTGTGGTACAAAACACTGTACAGTAGAAGAGGATCAATGAGAAAATAAATAGGAACGAGTAATGATAAGGATTCGCTATGAAAAATTCGTAGCTTTAACACAGCCTTAGGAATTGGGGGAGAGCATGCCTCTTATCAGAGTTGGGAACCAATTGGTAGAAATGGCGGATCAATTTGAGGGGATTTGTGTGGAGACTGACGGCTTAATTCTGCTCTTGGAATCACAGGATCATTGAGCTCACCATAGCTCCAGTTTAATTTATGTCTTTTTCTGTTACATTTAGTTAGCAAAAAGAACTATTTCTCTTTTGCTAACGCTTTTTGTTACAAAGCGTTTTGTTATTACCACGAATAAGGGATCCATCAGACAAAACAAGGTCGCGTTGTCAAATGTATGTAAGTGGAGCCACAATAAATAACCAGTTTTCTTTCCCTAAGAGGTAGTATCACCACCAAGTTTACCTCGTAAATTATTCAGGAATCACAGGATCATTGAGCTCACCATAGCGCCAGTCTAATTTATGTTTTTCTCTGTTATGTGTAGTTGGCAAAAAGAACTGTTTCTCTTTTGCTAACGCTGTTTTTGTTACAAATCGTTTTGTTATTACCATGAATAACGGAATCCACCAGACAAAACAAGTTCGCAGTATTAATTGTATGTATGTGGAGCTACAATAAACGACCAGTTTTCTTTTTTGAAGAGGTGGAAACACCACCAAGATAAATTCGTTAATTATTTAGGAATTACAGGATCATTGAGTTCAACATAGCGCTAGTTTAATTTGTTTTTTTCAGTTACGTATAGTTAGCAAAAGGAACTGTTTCTCTTTTGTTAACGCTGTTTTGTTACATAGCATTTTGTTATTACCATGAATAAGGGGATCCACCAGACAAAACAAGTTCGCGTTGTAAAATGTATGTAAGTGGAGCCACAACAAATAACCAGTTTTCTTTTTCGAAGAGGTGGTAACACCACCAAGATAACTCGTAAATTATTCAGCCAGAAACGCCTCTACGGGTCTTAGCTTTGTATCTTTAGAAATAAGGTGACGAATTTATCAGCGAGGATCACGAAAAACCAACGAGAAAATTAGCTGCTTTGTGAAAAGCAAAATTAAACATTAAAACTCAATCCTTGCTTTATGTTGAATTTCCAGGCTTTTATTAGAGTATTTTAAGGCAACTTCCCTATTTTTTCTTGAATTTCTTTTTAATTTTCTAAACCCTCTGATAAGAAACTTATATCCTGAATCTAAATTTCACCTGGATTTTTCCATTGTTTTTCGATAAGAATTACATCAACTCATTTTTTGGACTCTGAAACCTATAAATAGATTTAAATCGCGAAATCGCGCTCACGGTCAGAAATCGAGGACAACATGGCGTCCAGGCATGCGCTCAACGTTCTCGAACTGGGATTTAAAATGTCAGTCGTTAAAGGCTTCGTGCATGGGGGAAAAATAAAACTTTTAAAAATTGCTCAAGTTATAGGGAAAATGATTCACATGCGATCAAAATGTTGAGTCGAGTCGAATTTGTAGCATCCCTAGAGTATGCTAGATGGAGTCCCGAACCATCGCTTTACCGAGTACTCTTTTCCCATGGCTCTGTAATTTTGGTTGAATGCCTTCCTCCCAGTCAAATTATGGCCACCAAACAGAAGACTTTCCAATTTTTGAACGTCCATTCCGCTAAAGCAAAGGTTAAACTTTGAGATTTGAAGCTTCAATAATGCTGAATTCTTGTTTTTGTGGGATCTTTTATTCCGTAAAATAATGGAATTCTGAAAATCCATTTTCAGACCCAGCAGTTAGTCAAACGGACAAGGAAGAAGCTATTTGCGAGCGGTTTTTCTAGACCTAAACGATTCCTTTCGAACGCCATTGCTTTCACGTGTGGTTACAAAGCCTTACAATATTTATCACTGGCCCCGAATCATTGTGGCTCCTAAACATGTGTTACAGTTGGGGGTGAAAGCCTCATTGGTTATTCATGAGAGTTGGGGGATCAAAACATGTGGCGCTATGCGCCAGACGTTCTCGTTGAATACTTGTGTTCTTAGATTCTGAGTGAAGAAATCAACAATAACCTTTTTTTTATAATGCTATTAAAACTGAATAATTTCCTGTTCGGATTTTCAATCCTTCACTTCACTCGTATCTCAGCAAAATAACGTGGAGTACCTGGGACCAATGTTAATTTTGAACTACGATATGTCAGCGGGTTATCATTTATTTATATATATGTCATGAGAACCTTGCTTTGAAAATTTCTAATTTCACGAGTCTTTCCGCGCGAAAGATGAGCGAGAAAAAGCTCGATAGCTTCAGTTGTGTGAATTATGTGGAAGACTGGTGCATTCTCGTCAATTACCTGATCACAGAGCAGATTCGTCCAGCGACGATCGTAAGTGCGCGTTCATGCAAGATGGCGTCCTGCACGCTCTCGACTAGCGACTAAATACAGGAATGGCTCCGACCTGTGATTGGATGATAAAAATAGTAAAAGTTAATAACTTGTATCTTAACTCCTTGCTTGTGAGTATGGTTAACCGCGTGTCTCGAAGCGGAACAATGAAATATCAATGTGAAAACGCCGATGAGTCAAACAAGAAATGGCTACTTACATAATGAAGAGAAGGCAGAGTCTAGCTTGTTCAGCGAGGTCGTTCAGCGATATTCCGGCGATGAAAAAGTCATCCGCTGACAAAACTCATTTAGTCAGTTTAGGCAGACGACCAGACTGGAGCCATTCGTGTATTTCACCACAGACAGGAATGGCTCCAACTCATGCGTATGTTAATTTTTTTTTTCGTTCTGGCTAAATAATTCATACACTGAGATAAAAACTGAAAGAGCGATTTATTAGGTTCTTCTTAAGTTGAAGTCTACAGTGCTTAGTTCAGTGCGATGTTTTTAATTTACAGTATGCTCTGCTGGATAAATATGGCTTAGCCACAATCGAGGGAGTTTTTTTTCGTGGAAAACTGATTTTCTAGGTTATTGTTCACATAAAGGACAAATCCATTCATCAGGCTCTTCATCTGTTTTAAAACTACTGTTCGCACAGCGCTGCTCACTAGTTTAGTTTTAAATTTTTTTTTAAAAACTGTTTAAAAAATTATTTAAAAATTATTGAAAAAAATTATTAAAATTGAGTCGGAGCTATTCCTGTCTGCGGTGAAATACAGGAATGGCTCCAGTCTCTGTTCGTGCGCGTGAACTGACTAAATGAATTTAGTCAGCGGAGCTAGTCAGCAGATGACTTTTCCATCGCCGGAATATCGCTGAACGACCTCGCTGAACAAGCTAGACTCTGCCTTCTCTTCATTATGTAAATAGCCATTTCTTGTTTGACTCATCGGCGTTTTCACATTGATATTTCATTGTTCCGCTTCGAGACACGCGGTTAACTATACTCACGTGCAAGGAGTTAAGATATAAGTTATTAACTTTTACTATTTTTATCATCCAATCACAGGTCGGAGCCATTCCTGTATTTAGTCGCTTGTACGCTCTCGTTGTGGAGACGAACAACAAAATGATTTCAGGTGCGTCAGATAGATGTGATCAAAGGTTAATAATGATTTTTTTTAAAGTTTAACCCAATTTTTTGTTCTTAATTAATCTTAGAGTTGTGCAAGTTCTGAATTAGAAGCTTTTTATGAGTTGAAACGACCGTGGGTCCCAGGAGAAAAGTGGGGGTCGTGAGTTTTTTCTAATTGAAATGGGGGGGGGGGGGAGGGGCAGGGGTATTCTGACCGCCATTCCCTCTAAACGGAATATGGTTTTCGGAGTCGTAAATGGTTCTGAACAGGGTCTCTTTTCAGGCTCAAGGCCTTGAGTGGGGTTAAAATGTTGCCAGTGCAGACTCCTGATATGCTGTGCTGGCCAAAATTTTTAAAATTTTACTGTAAATATTCTTTGGTTTAATTACTGATTAATTGTGTTCTCCATCTAGGTGTGGCATTATCACAACTTTCTCTCCAGAATCTGCTGGAAATTTTTGCAATTTTTGTTTTTCATTATGAAGAAAAGTAGGTAATTTTATTCAACAAGGCCCTCCCTCTATAGTTTCCCATTTTTTTACGTTTCAAGGAATGAAGTCATCAGCATTGGAGCACTGAAAAGGCTTTAGTTACATGCTACGAGGGTGGAACTCAAGTTGTGGTACGACAGAAGAAAGAAACACCAGGGTTTTCCTTTCAACATTTTGCCTACATGCATCTCTCTGTATGTGAAATTTTCCAACTTGAAAGTTATTCAAGTTTTTTAGCTTCCTTTATCAATCATCTTGTATAACAAGCTATGAAATGTAGGTTCATTTGCTCAAGTGGCTGCCTAGAGCCAGAATTGCAGGACAGGCGTAGTTAAGAGAAGCTTGTCACCATCACATATTTCAAAAGGCATCCAAGACGAAAATACTGCAATGCCCGATGGTTTTTTTTTATGTTTTTCAGAGATGGAATAATGGATTATAAAGGAAAATTAAATTTAGTGTTGTAGCTGCCTGGCAAGGGGAGATATTTGACCTCAAAGTTTTCAATGTTTGGATGAATCGAAAAGTCTAAAACACAGTCATTTGTTTGCCTCTGTTGATTGACAAGCCATCGATCAAATCGACTGACACTTGCGTCATACATTCATTAAGGAGTTAACAATATCTATACAAACCCTCAGAATATCGGCTAACCACCATTGCAGTGAGAGCTTCATACATTTTACCTATTTTTAAGCGATTTCCTCGGTGAAAACCAAGAAAAACCGAGTGGTGGTCCATATCCAAAAACCAAAACAGAAACAAGTTTGTCTGTTTGAGTTTTGGGGCAGACCCTTAAACTGCCAAAGTTTCATTGAAACCCTTAAGCTGGCATGTAGCACGACTGCCTGGTACTCTCGTGGACACACTCTTAATTGGCAGTCATTTTTCTATACTATATTTGAGACGACTGATTTCCCTACAGTTTTCCCCCCTGCAAACCATGTTAAACCCCTCCACCCCTAGGATAAAAAACGGCTGGTTCCTTATTTAACAGTTAGTTGCCCCTTAGATTAGGCAGGGGCCGCCTAAATGCACCAAGCAGAGTCTGTTAGAAGAAAACATATTAAGAATTCGAATCTTCTGACATAAAGCTACGATCTTCTGACATGTTAATTATCATCACGATCTGGGGAAAAGACGAAGTTTAGTCTGTGTTTTTGTTTCTGTATAAATTGTGTTTTGTAATTGATGGAGATGTCGTTATATAATACTCTTTTCCACGCACTATACTATAACGAGGTAAAATAAAAAATATCAAGAAGATTGGTAATCTAACTTTGGAGGGAAGATATTTGGGTCTGCAAGGAAAAACTTACGTAGCTCGTGGTTTCCTTCGCCATCACCTTGAAAGCAATAAAAAAGAGAGTAATCAGAGTAATCTTCGTTGTGGATGAGTGTCTTCTTTTGCACCTGAGAAATAAAGCTTCTTGTAGAGGAAACTCTTCTGCCACTGTTAGATCTGCTGTGAAATTCGCTCGTTTATCGTCTAGTATATATTAGACTCACAAATATGAATATTAAAAAGAACGTTTTCATCCTTTTGTTTCCAAGAAGCAGGTAATAAATTCAAAACCGATCACCGTTCGTTCAATCTTGTTTTTTAAGAAACTTGATCCGCCCTTTCTAGCTTGTAGCTGTCTTGTTATGCGATGTCAATGGAAGTTTTCTTGTTTTTTTCTATTGAATCTTTCCTATTGATTGGTAATTCATAAGTTTTTATTTACGAATGAAGAGACTTTTTTTAATTTTGTCACGTATCAAGTTTTTAATTTTTTTCCTATTTTCAAACCATGTACACGGTTATTAGTGTAACTCCCTTTGTTAAGAATGAGGACTGGGTGACCTCTTCGGGCTTGTAGCAGCAAATGAGACATTAAAAACAGACGTTTGAGTAACTCTGTGGTACAAAATACTGTACAGTAGAAGAGCGACACGAGAATAGGAACGAGTAATGATAAGGATTCGCTAAGCAAAATTCGTAGCTTTAACATAGCCTTAGGAATCAGGGGACAGCATGCCTCTTATAAAGGATTAGTGACCGATTATTGGAAATGGTGGATCAATTTGGAAGGACTTAGGTGAAGGCTGCTTAAGTAGTGTTCATTACTGCGAAGATCGCCTTCATATTCACGTCTTTATCCGCAGTTCAAATATATGTCTTTCATATATTCACAGCCGACTATACTTTTGGTTTATTAAATAAACAACCAAATAGCGCCCTAACATGAGCGAGTGAAAATGGTGTAAATATAGGATTGGCTTCCGAAAATAAGGCCTCTGTCTTAGTGTGCAAATCATTCAAGCCGGAATAATAATTTCAGCCGGGAATTTTGTTTTTCTCGTCAACAGCTTCAGCAGCTTCTTAGTGTGGACCTCGGTGGTCGCAGACCGGGATCTTTCCGTCCTTCTTCTGTCACAAGACCACCTCCCATTGTGAAACATCGGACGAAAGTGTTCAAAACTTTTCAATGGTGTTAAGACTTCTATAGTGGTACTCGATGAAAATGACAATTTGCGAAGTACAAAACCCATTAGCGGCGAAGGATTTCGATACAAATCAAGAAGTTCACAAGGAATTAAGGAACTTTTTAGGTCAGACTGAAGAAAAAGTAGAATTGTCAGACTCGTGGACATTTGATTCCCCTGTACATGAGGCAAATCCTACGCGAACACAGAAAGCTTCATACGACCGAAGTGCAAAGGACTTTCCGGCTTACATGAGGAAAGTGCAAAGAAGGAAGGAGAAAAGAAAAATGACAAAATAGAAAAACTGTTCTTTGTTTAATCAATTCTGACAAACAAACTTGTTAATCATCGAAGTATTTGCTCAACCAACTGGTATCTTGTGGAAGCGTCAAGGGAAAAAGTGAAAACACGGAATCTTATTTGAAATATAAGGATGCACATAAAAAATCTGTGCTGTCATCCATCATCACTCGGGCTGAGATTGGTTGGAGACTGGGGCGAGTTTTCCCTGACCCTCCCTCGGACATTTATTACCTGACTCATATTTGACTCATCAAAAAAAAAAAAAAGTTTCTATGCTATCAGATTTATTTCAGTTTTCGCTCAAATTTTTCACAATTTCGCATTCCTTTTCAACTCGCTAGTACTAAATCTGCGGAGTTGTTCAAGAATTTTTTTTAATCTCTAGGGGAGGTTGTTAATTTCCAGGTTCTGTCTCCAGGAGGTCCGGGTCTACTGCTTGATACTGGCATCTGGAACCTGTAAATCCTTTATCACAATGACAACCTATGGACCTGACGCCCGGCCCAGGCTCCAAGGCGAAACACGTTCCATTCAAACACATTGTTGCTTTAACTTCGTCGTCCGTACAAGCTGAAGGAAGAGAAGAGATTTGAACAAAGGGAAAGGTCATTATTGGTTGTGTCACGGTGGAATTTTACTTTATCCCTTTATAACACTCTGTAATATACTCATGATCCTTTTCCCTCGTTGGCAGCTAATTGGAAGTCATTTTTCTATACTATATTAGAGACGACTGATTTCCCCTCCAACCCCCCCCCCCCTGCAAACCATGGGATCTCTCCACCAGGTTATTAATAAATGGCTGGTTCCTTATCCAACAATTAGTCGCCCTTGAGATTAGGTACAGACTGCCTAAATGCACCAAGCACAATCTGTTAGAAGAGTCCGAATCTCATACCATAAAGCAACGACCTTCTGACCTGATAAATATCATCACGATCTGTGGCAAAGACAGAGTTTAGTCCGTGTTTTTGTTTCTGTATAAATTGTGTTTTTTAACTGATGGAGATGTCGTTGTACAATACTCTTTTCCTCGCACTATACTATAACAGAGGTAAAATTAAAAGAAAATAGGAAATTAAATCTTAGAGGGAAGATATTTTGGTCTGCATGGAAAAACTTACGTAGTTTGTGACCTTCGTCATGACCTTGAAAGCAAAAAAAAATTATATAAAAGTTTTATATGACCTCTTTATAACTGTTAAAAGTAGTCAAGACACGTTTTGCTGGGTAAGTACTGAAGAAAAAGAGGGAATGTCAAATTATTTTTAACGAGATGATACCAGTTTTTGTACTCATCGTGAAGGGAATCAAATAATCAAGAAATTAGGAATTTCAATCTTGGAGGGAAGATATTTTGGTCTGTAAGGAAATACTTACTTGACTTGTGACTTCCTTTGTTATTATCTTGAAAGTAAAAAAAAAACAATTTCACATGGCCTCTTTATCACTGTTACAAATAGTCAAAACAAGTTTTGCTGGGTAAGGACTGAAGAAAAAGCGAGAATGTTGGATGATTTTGAACGAGAAGATACCAGTTTTCGTAATCATCGTAAAGGGACCACTTGAAAAGAACGGAACGCTTTACTAAACGGCTGACCAATTTAACTGTTGACATTTACCAAGGTTACTAATATCTTAAAGTAATAACACAAATTGCTCGAAGAGGGTAGCAAAAGGTTCATGCGTGACACGTGATTAGACCCAAAATTAATGCGGGAGGCGCAAATTTTACAGAGAGGTAAGGTAATGTGAGATTTCAAGTTATCCCTTTTGATTCTTGAGATACTGTTAATGTTGGAAGTACACGTGTCGTGCCCTTCCCAATGCGAAAAGAGGTGCAAAACTAAGGGTCGATTGGTTTAAGGTGGTGCGACTTTTCCAGACTAACTGAAGAGAGTATCGAAGAAAAAATTAATGCAGTAAAGGATTACTTTTGAAAACAAATTGAACATGATGCTTATAAACTAAGAATTACACTGACTTACGGGCTTTTCCTTTACCAGCATCCACTATAACATAAACCATCCAAGCAGCACCAATCAGATACAGGGCAATCTTCATTGTGGATAAGTGTCTTCTTTTGCACCAGAAAAATAAAGCCTCTTGTAAAGTAAACTCTTCTGCCAATTTTAGATCTGCTGTGAAATTTGCTTGTATATCGTCCAGTATATATTAGACTCACAAATATAAATATTAAAAAGAATGTTCTCATCCTTTTGTTCCCAAGCAGCAGGTAATAAATTCAAAACCAATTACCGTTCTTTCAATCTTGTTTTTTAAGAAACTTGATCCGCCCTTTCTAGCTTGTAGCTGTCTTGTTATGCGATGTCAAAGGAAGTTTTCTTGTTTTTTTCTATTGAATCTTTCCTATTGATTGGTAATTCATAAGTTTTATTTATGAATGAAAATTTTTTTTTTCATTTTGTCCCGTATCAAGTTTTTACTTTTTTCCTATTTTCCTATTGACTCGAAAAAATCATACACATGGTTATTAATGTGATTCCTGTTGTTGAGAATGAGGACTGGGTGACCTCTTCGAGCTTCAGCCAGAAATAAGACATTTGAAAAACAGACGTTTGCGTAACACTGAGGTTCAAACACTGGGCAGTAGAAGAGCAAGAATGAGAAAGTTAATAGGAACGAGTAATGATAAGGATTCGCTATGCAAAATTCGTGGCTGTAACACAGCCTTAGGAATCAGGAGCCAGCATGCCTCTTATAGGAGACTGGGGACCGATTGTTAGAAATGGCGGATCCATTTGGGAGGGGTTGTGTGGAGATGAAGGCTTAATTCTGCTCTTGGAATCACAGGATCATTGAGTTCACCATATAGCCCCAGTTTAATTTATGTTTTTTTCTGTTCCGTGCAGTTAGCAAAAACAACTATTTCTCTTTTGTTAACGCTGTTTTGTTACAAAGCGTGTTGTTGTTACCATGAATAAGGGGATCTTCTAAACAAAACAAGTTCGCGTTATAAATGTATGTAAGTTGAGTTACAATAAATGACCAGTTTTCTCTCGGAAAGGGGTGGTAACACCACCAAGGTAACCCCGTAAATTATTCAGCCAGAGACGCCTCTTCGATCTTAGCTTTGTCTCTTTAGAAATGAGGTAACAAATTTATATGCAGGGATCACGAAAAACCAACGAGAAAATTACAATAGGTGCTTTGTGAAACGCAAAACTAAATGTTAAAATCCATTCCTTGTTTTATGTTAAATTTCCAGGCCTTAATGAGAATATATCAGGTAACTTCTCTTTTTTACGATTTTTTCTGATTTTCTAAACCTTCAAATAAGAAACTTGCATCTTTTTGAAAAACGCGAAAATAAACATTGCACCTCTGTTTTATGTTGAGTTTTCCTGGCACGGTTTTATGAAGATAGTTGCTGGAACAACTTCCATTTTCCTTCTTGGTTTTCCCTATTTTCGAAACACTCTGATAACTATCGAAACAAAGAAGTTTGCGTTGAAATTCAGTATTGCTTTATTCAAACATTGTTGGCAATCGATTTTTCGACACTGAAATTGAGCATCTGAGTTTCACCTGGATTTTTCCCATGTTTTTCGTCAAGAATTATATCCACTGATTTTTTTTCCTGTTTTCCTAAACTTTTAAATGGATTTAAATCGCGAAATCACATTGGTAGTTGTCCGTCAAAAGCATATGCAAAAAAATGTGATATCAATTATGTCGCACACTGGATATTACTCTTAAAGAATCGAATAAAAACGAAAATCTTGTTTTAACAAACAAATAACGTTAAAGTTAACAAACAAACAAATAACTCAACAAGTGTCTTTAAGTAGTCAAGAAAGGTTCCGAGTTGTAGAGAGGTAAAAAAATCCTTCAGAACGTTTTGATCTTTGATCAGCCCTTTCCGTGGTTCTGGTTAAAAGGAGAAGTACTTTACTTTAGTTAATTGACGCAAGTGTTCAGTTGTCAGGCCAACTGAAGTAAACACTACTCGAATCAACGCGAACCAGAGAGAGCAAGGGAAATTAACGAAAAAGATATGCTAAAATTTCAAAGCAAGGGAAATCAACGCGTATTTCTCAAGTAAACAAAGGCAGAATAAGGACCACATTTTCTTTAACACTGAGTCTGAAAGTCTGCAAAACAAACAGGGAATCATGCTTGAATATTGAATTAAGAAAGCATGGAAAACTGCAGTCTAAACGGTCTTTACCACGTACGGCTGGGTCTGTACTTTTGTAAAATTATTCTAGCCTCTTTCGCTAATAATCCATCGAATCTATAGAATCTTTCCAGCATATCTCTTTCTGTGACAATAACTTTACAAACTATCATTAAGCAGAGAAAGTAGATCCCCTGGGTGTACCATATAACCAAGAATAAACTCATCATTCTCCCTGCATTTTAATTTGTTTCTTAAAAACCCTTTCACTCTCAAGATCTCATTTGTAATTCCCCTACTGTCCGCCATACAATTCTTTAAAAGGTAACTCAGAGAATTTGGGATCAAGTTAAAACCCCCTTGTTGATATTGTTCTTCATTCTCACCACCCGTCTACTTGAGATTGCATTGATATAGTCAGGAGAAATTGTCTTGGTTATTCTTGAGAGTTGAGGGATCAACACACGTGGCTTTCTCCTTCAATACTTGTGTGCTTAGATTCTTAATGGAGAATGAACGATAAATTTTGTTTTACAATGCAATATTGTTTGGGTTTCACACGTATCTTAACAAAATAACGTTGAGCACTGGGACCTATGTTGATTCTGAACTACTATATGTCAGCGGGTTATCATTTATTCATATTTATGTCATGTAAACCTTACTTTGAAAATTTTTAATTTCACGTGTTTTTCCGCGCGAAAGATGAGCAAGAAAAAGCTCGATAGCTTTCAGTTGTGTGAATTATGTGGAAGACTGGTGTATTCTCGTCAATTAGCTGATCACAGGGCGGTATGTGGAGCAGATTCGTCCAGCGAAGATCATAAGAGCGCGTTCATACAAGATGGTGTCCTGCACGCTCTCGTTGTGGAGAGGAACAACAAAATGATTTCAGGTTCGTCAGATCGAAGTGATCTAAGGTTAACAGTGATGTTGTTTTTAAGTTTAACCCAAGTGTTTGCTCTGAATCAATCTTAGAATTGTGTGGTTTCTGAATTGAAAGTTTTTTTTATCAGTTGGAACGGTCGTGGGTCCAAGGAGAAAAATAGGGGTCGTGGGTTTTTCCTAATTGAGATTGGGTTGGGGTTATTCTGACGGGTATTCCCTCCAAACAGGATCTAGTTCTCGGAGTCTTAAATCTTAAACAGAATAGATGAATTTTAAGGGTCTTGGACAGGGTCTCTTTCCGGACTCAAGGCCTGGAACGGGGTTAGAATGTTGCCAGTGAGGACTCTTTAGATGCAGTTCTGGCCAAATTTGTTAAAATTTTACAGTAAATATTCTTTGGCTCTTCCAAATATCTATGAGACCATTTTAAAACAACTCTAGAGTAGGAGGGAAGTGATAACAAGGCCTGATCTGTCATTGATCAGTCATCACCAGCCCCAGTCATTCTTAAACCTCAGCAACCAGAATGAGAGGATTTTTACATAGAGAAGACCTCCCAAAGCTATTACTGGATGCTTAGAAGGGGTTTAAGTTTAATTTCTATGGTTTAACTGTGATTATATCAGATAGTAAGCTGCCACTGCCATTTCGAAAGAATGTGATTTTGCTGAACTGTAACACAATGAGGGAGTGCAACCTGCCCATTGGAAAAAGAGTTGTGTTGAGGTCAGACCAAAAAAACTTAGAGGTAAATGTTTCAGAAAAAGGCTTATAATTTTTTACATGGTTCATTTTTAGTGTATGAGCATGATAATAAGATCATTGTATATTACATTGGCAGATTGTCTGTATGGCATGGCCTTCATCAGGAGTCTCCCCAGAGTGTAGGTGGATAACATTTGATTTTTTCATCAATGTTCCAATGACTTAATTTATCAAGGGCATAAAATTATTGCTGCTGGTAATTACTGATTAATAGTGTTCTCCACCCAGGTGTGGCATTATCACAACTGTCTCTTGAGAATCTGCAGGTAATCTCTTTTATTTTTGTTTCTTATTATGAAGAAAAGTTTGTAATTTTATTCAACAAGGCCCTATTCACTAAGTTTTCCCGTTTTTTAGGTTTCAGGAGGTGAATTCGTCAGCATTAGAGCACTGAAAAAGCTGTGGTTACATGCTGCAAGGGTGGAACTTGAGTTGTGGTAAATGGTTGATTCTTTTCCTTTTTCTATCATAGCAGTAAATGCAATCCATCTTTATATGCACTCTGGTTACAAGAATTAACCCTTTACACCCTAACATCAGTATGCATATTCTCCATACTGTTCTTTATACATTTCTTAAGGTGCTGACAAGGAGAATTTGTTTACCCAATCAAAAGCTTCTTTCATTGGTGATCATTTCCTTTATTCTCATGACCCTTTATATGTGATTTAGGAGTGATATTGTTGGGAGAAATAACTTTAACTCCTAGGGGTTAAAGGGTTACTAACAGCCCAGAGAGGGTAGAGACATTTTCAGGCCAACTGATGGAGAGCCTTGTTCCACAATGTACTGTGCTTCATAGATAAAATGCTGCTGAATAATCTAACAGTATCTCACAATACAAGAGTTGACATGAATTATACATTGCTGTTTGTATGTGCAACTGGACAAAATGCATTAAGGGAGATGGGGATGACCCAATTTGTTCTCAGTCAGTTAGTGGTAGCAGCTCCCTCACCAATTAACAAGGCTTCCCGCCCAAAAATAAAAGATTTACTTACTTTTGTTTCATTCTAGTGATGCAGTGGAGTTTGAAGTGAATCAACTGTTTACTGATTATTGTCTTCAAGATTTACGTAAGTACTAATAGGTTTCTCTAACCTATGTTGCTTCTTCAACAACCTAAACCAATGAGATTCTCCTCTGTTTGACATACCATTTATATTCCTGGAACCTGACTGCAAATTTTTTCTCTTTCTGCATGTGACTGTCAAGATACCAAATATGTTACAATTGCGTGTATATGGCAATAAATATTCATGGAGAGGGGGGTTGGGAGACCATATTGTAAGATGCCAATTGGTTGAGTCATGCTAGACTGTTACTCCCAATCCTTACCCAACCCTACTGGGTACTAAAGGTTGTATTTATCTCTTGGGGGACTGTTTATTAAACTTGTTCAAAACCATTGCAGGGAATCAATATGTCTGTCCTGGACACAAATTAGAAGTCACATTCTATGGCAGAGCCCGGCAGCTAACGGTTATAGGATTAACTGGATCCTGTACACTTGATACAAACTCAATTTCTCCAGCTGAATTTAAGCCCCAGCAAATATTTTCTAACACTTCAACTTCAAAGCTTACAGACAAACTGGAGAGGCTCAGCCTTAATAGGGGAACAAGAATGGATGCAAAAGCTGCTATGTCGTGTGATGTTGAAGATTTGACAATTCAGAGGAATTTGTCATCTAATTATCAGAAACAAAACTACACTGAGGACGAATTAGTTGATGTGGAATCAAAAGAAAAAAGTGAAGGATCTGTGCAACAATCGTATCATGCAAAGGCGAAGATTGAGCACGGATGTGGAAACACTTTGCGGTCAGATGTCCAGCCAAACCAACTTGATAGTCAGTCAGTATTTTATTATATTTCACCAGAAGAAACACATCTGACAATTCACGCTCGCGGAGTGCGTCAAAGTGAGCAAAGCGTGCCAAAAAATAGAGTAACTTTTAAATCTATCGGAGGACTTCATAAGCAAGTTTCGCTGGTGCGTGAAATGATCGAACTTCCTCTTAAACATCCAGAAATGTTTACAAATTACGGTAAGTTGTTGTTAAATAACAACTGAGTTCCTTTAAAGCCAGAGGAAGGGGGATTCTCTATGAATTAGTGTAACCAATACTCTATTAGACTAATTTTTAATTTCTATCGAAAGTAATCCGTGATTGCTTTGGTTTTCCTATAATTCGCTCTTGGATTGGTTCAGAAAACTCTCACCACTCTCTTAACCAATCAGATGCAAAAACTACGACTTGGTCGTCAGCGTTTTCCCGCGCTTTTGGCAGTTTGGTTGTTTTTCTGTTGTCTTCATGGACTCTCAAAGATGTTTTCCTTTCTTCAGTTGGTCCCCCTGTGGAAGTCGTGGGAATTGATAAACATTTATGGTCTATGAATTGTTTCTACAACATTTCTTCATTGTTCAGGTATTGCACCCCCGCGCGGTGTCTTGCTCCACGGTCCGTCTGGAACAGGGAAAACCCTCATTGCACAAGCAGTGGCCGCGGAGTCTGGTGCCCACTTTATCTGCCTTAATGGCCCGGATGTTCTGAGTAGGTCTGTAAAGCGTTTATACTTCATTAATAGCATACCCCGCGACATTAAAAATTTTCACAATACTAACATTACTCGCATTGCGTAAAAGGCTGTCCAACACAGTTACCATCTTCATTTACATCATCATCACGCAAAGGCATCGCATTCGACATTCCTTTCGTAGTAGTGTGTGGGAAGTTTGTCACCATGCACCTAGTTAAACGGCCTCGAGTCTTCTATAGCTCAGTGGTGGCGCATTCTAAGCAAAAATCGTTCCTTTACTCCAATTATGCTGTGTCTTTCACTGAATAACACCATCTTTCAGTAACCTTTTTGTTCTCTCTATTTTTCCCGCCAGATATTACGGTGAAACAGAGGCACGTTTGAGGGACATATTCCGCGAGGCTCGCGAGAGGGCTCCTGCTATCGTATTCATAGATGAGCTGGATGCTTTGTGTCCCAAAAGAGATAAGGTACAAAATGAGTTTGAGAAGAGAGTAGTGGCTACTCTGCTCACTCTGATGGATGGAGCAGACACAGCGGTGAGGATTGAAATGGTTATTATTTTGGTTATGATTGTTATTATAATGATAATGACGATGATGATGAGGAGGAGTTTTTCGACCCTGAGCCTATCTATGTCTCGGAAATAAGCGCATAAAATCCATCTAAACTGAACAAAAGACCTATGCTCCCCAAGGCGAGTGAAGAAGTTTGACCTTACACGAGTTTAGTTGTTTACAAACTCAAAGAATTATTATTATTAATCCGCTTGTCAGAGAATAGATAAAACTGAAACTCAAGTGATTATTTATAGAATTTTTCATCGAGTCACGTGATCTTTTTGGCGGCCACTAACCGTCCAGACGCCATAGACCCAGCCCTTCGCCGACCGGGTAGACTGGATCGAGAAATTGAGATTGGAATACCAAATGCTAACGACCGTGAAGATATTCTGCGGACTCTTCTGCTCAATGTGCCACATGGCTGCACGGAAGATGATTTGAGAAGGTATGTAAACAAGAACGACGCAGAGAAGTTGATCGTATCGAGCTGAAAAATCAAATCGAAAAGAGAAGGGAGAAAGCCGAGGAAAAGGTTGTGCTGACGAAGCTGCCTTTTGAGTGACTGAAAAGTCGAGTGTCAGCCCTTCGTCAGAGCCCTGCCGTGACAAGGGGCTAACGCTCGAGAGATCAGCTTTAGAAACTCTTTATGTTGGCCTCTTAAAACCCTTTAACTCCCGGATCAAATTTGTCATTCTCCTTACTGTCAACCATACAATTCTTATAATGTTAGGTCAAAGAATTTAGTATTGGATCAACTAATTATCCCCAAACTGATATTTTTCTTCATTCTCATCACTTGTCTGGTTGATACTGTAATGATATTGTAAGGAGAAACTCTGTCTTGGTCACTCATGGGAGTTAAAGGGTTAATATTATCAACTCAGTTGATCAAACCAAATTATCACGTCACAACCTCACCGACGCAGCACCTCAGTTTCTGTAGAAACTTACCCTCTTTTTTCATTCTTTTTGAAGTTTCGCAGAGTTGGCTCATGGCTATGTAGGAGCAGATCTTACCGCTGTGTGTAAAGAAGCAGGGCTCATGTCATTCAAACGTTGTTTAGCGGAACAAAACGGACTTTCCACCGATGACGTCGGGGTCCAGGAGGAATACTTAAAAGAGCGCCTTTTGGTCACCAGAGAGGACATCATGGCGGCGTTCCGACAGGTCCGCCCCAGTGCTATGCGCGAAGTGTCTATTGATGTACCTAAGGTGGGAATCGTGTTCAATGGTATTTCTGTTTGACCTTGGAGAATGATGGTTTGCCGGCTTAAAAGGCCGGTTTGTGGAATAGGCTTTTTAATTACCGACGGTCCTCGGTCTATTTTTGCAAAACCATGAATACCGAGCGCTCGTGAGCAAACTGCAATTCAGAGAATCGGTAGAGTCAATATTTTTGCAGCGCAATTGAAAACTTGTTATTTTCCTTCGTCTAGGAGAATTTTTAATTTGGTGTCTTTAGTGATATAGGCTTGCGTTGGCTCTGTTCTACTTCGCTCTGTGATTGATCCAGAAAATACGCGTCACCATCAGACGCAGAACGAACACCAACTGCGCCTTGGTTACTCGCGTTTTCCCGGGCTTCGGGCAATTTGCTTGTTTTTTGTTGTTGTTGTTGTTGTTGTTTTTTAACTGGAATTACCATCGGTTCCTTGCTTTACTGTCCTTTTACCTTCAATGGCTGTTGTAAATACTTTGATGTTGGTTTCATGGCACTTAATCGAAATTCACACGAAAATGTATTTATCCAAGGGAACACTACCTTTGTAGTAGACAATACGTGAATTTGTCGTTACGAAAAATGCTCTTCTCTATTTTATTCCCGAGCTCAAAATTTACCATCTTTCTTATTTTATAACTTGTGTAGGTTCGTTGGGAGGATATCGGGGGAAATGCAGTCATCAAACAGAAGCTAAAACAAGCTGTGGAATGGCCACTAAAACATCCAGAGGTGATTAACAATAACTTTGAATTTATACGAAAGAGAAACAAACCAAGAGACATACTAGTGGAAGTGATTCCTACGAGCCATGCCAGTCTTCGTATGAGTTGCAATTTATCTATAAAATTGTGGCTTATATTTTACTGGTACTGAATCTCCCGGGACCGTTTTGTACAAACCACGATGAAGCTATTCCATGATTAGCGTGATATGTTTCTCTCTTAAATAAAAAAACTGAGAAAGTATAAAAAAGTAAGTTTGTATTAGTTGGGTGTTATCAACACTGCGATAAAATCTCACAAAACCTTAGCCTCTATATACGTTATAAAACTTAAGGAATGAAAACCAATTTTAACGCCAGTCGAGGTTAACTTCGATCTTGGCCCTGACTTTTCTGACGGACAATCTCTTTTAATTGGTTCCCCAAAAGGCGTTTCAACGATTGGGTATTCGCCCTCCCAAGGGGATTCTGATGTACGGTCCCCCGGGATGCAGCAAGACGCTTGTGGCGAGAGCACTGGCCACAGAAAGTGGGCTCAACTTCTTGGCAGTGAAAGGGCCTGAACTGTTCAGTAAGTGGGTTGGAGAATCTGAGAAAGCAGTAAGGCAGGTCAGTGGTGAACAGTCCAGCGAGATGCCCCGCGGGTGATAATGCGTCAAATTCCTCAAGTGTAACTACTTGTCATCTGGCAAGTATCTTTGCTTTCTCCTTAGCGAGTTACTAGTATGTTAAAAAAATTAATCCCTAATATTCCATGTGAAATTAGACAAATACTGGTGCCTTCTACCTTCTTGACTTTGCCACCGAACCCGGAAATTTATCCTCTTACTCTTTCATTCGAAAATTAGTTCTAAGGCATTCTGTCTTAACGTCAATCGCCATGTTATAACATCATATTCAATAACTTGCTATAGAGTAAGAAAGATAGTACATTTTGTGCTCGATAATGAAAGAAGAAAGTTTTTTTTTTCGAAAAACTTCTTGCTCTAAAACTTACCATCACTTTTCCAGGTTTTCCAAAAAGCACGTGCTGCCGCACCATCCATCGTTTTCTTCGACGAAATCGACGCCCTCGCGGCGCGCCGTGGGAGTGGTGGAGATGACGGTGGGTCAAGTGTATCCGACCGCGTTCTCACTCAACTCTTGACTGAGCTGGATGGCGTGGAAACACTTAAAGACGTTGTCATGGTTGCGGCCACGAACCGTCCTGATATGATTGACAAGGCACTGCTCCGCCCTGGAAGAATTGATCGGATTGTGTATGTGCCACTTCCGGACAAAAACGCGAGGGAGGAGATCTTTAAAATCCACCTCATTGATACTCCCCTGGGAGATGACGTCGTAATGGGAGATCTTGCTGAAAAGACCGAGATGTTCTCGGGAGCTGAAATAACAGCGTTGTGCCGTGAGGCCGCTCTGATGGCCCTTCAAGAGGACATTGAGTCAAATGAAGTGCTTAGGAGACATTTCGATGAAGCTTTTATGGCGGTGAAGCCAAGAACTTCTAGGGAGTTGATAGAAATGTACAGAAAATACCAGAATGAAAGTGGTGTGCATTCTATTTAGTAGGCTAAGATTTTGACATGTCTTCTGAACGTAAAATGCCAATTTAGACCTCTGGAAGGCTGTCTTGAAAACAATAAATCAGCAGTTGTTCAAGTTGTTCTTTTTTTTTTTTCGTTTCAATGCAGTGCAGACTCTACGAAATGAATACAGGGGCCCTGTACTCTTATGAATCTATTGAATGTGTCTTTTGCCGTTTGTGATCCCATGTACAAATTTCCTTTTTGGGTATCCAAATTTAGATCGTATTTGTGTTAGTTCCTCTATAGCGTCATTTACTCTCCAGAGAGGTGATATCTATAATTGCGAATCAAGGATCTGCTCCAGCCTTATGGAGAGAGAAAAGTTCTTGCTAGTTCCTCTTTATAACAAACCACATAGAATAGTTAACCGATCACAACCAAGACGCCGGATTTTTGATCAATCAAGAAGCAGAAAATTACCACGGTCGAGGGTTCACATTCAGTATTAGCGATCGTGGCATGGTGTTCGCCTTCAGGAAACTATCCATTAATGGAGTGACTCTTCACTCAGTCGTAGCCAAGGTGTTTGAAAGAATTGTCTATGATCAATTATATGCCTATTTAGAAGAGCAAAGTATCATCTGTAAATATAAATCGGGTTTTCGCGCTACTTATTCAAATGTTACGGCCCTCCTTGAAGCCACTGACACTTAGGCGTATAATATTGATCGTGGAAAAACCAACGCTGTCGTTTTTCTTGATTTAAAAAAGGCCTTCGACACAGTTGATCGCGAGATCCTCCTATCCAAGTTAAGCCACTACGGCATATGGGGAAATGCGTTCAAATGGTTTGAGTCATACTGAGAGAATCGCACGCAAATGTGCTCCATTAATGGGTCGTTATCTAATAACCGTTCATTAACTTGTGGAGTTCCCCAGGGGACGATTCTCGGGCCATTGCTATTCCTGTTATATATCAATGATCTTCAGGTCCTATTTACAACTACTCGTTTCAAGAGTGTTCTTAGCTGCGAGGATCTCCTAGTTTCATCTTTCCACCGCAGTGCAAATATATGTGAATTTTCATATATTTAAAATCTTTATTCACTTGGATGTTTATTTGGACCCAATTCATTGACCAGCTCCCAGTTGGCTTGTTAGCTCAATTGGTGGAGCGCTGCACCGGTATCGCAGAGGTCATGGGTTCAAATCCCGTACGGACCTGAAATTTTTTTCAGGTCCTACTTACAACTACTAGTTTCAGTAGTGTTCTTAGCTGCGAGGATCTCCTAGTTTCATCTTTCCACCGCAGTGCAAATATGTGAATTTTCATATATCTAAAATCTTTGATCTTCCGAGTTGTTTATCCAATTGTGAACCGAGGATGTACGCCGACGACACCCACTTTACATATGCGGGTGATTGTGTAGACGATCTCCCAGTTATATTTAAATCAAGACTTAGAAAATTTTCTCAATTGGTTGAGAGCGAACAAACTTACTTTAAATATGACTAAAACTGAGTTTATGCTCATCGGTTCAAGGCAGAGATTGAGTACTCTCGCAGTTTCTCCCATGATCACAATTTATGACGATCAAGTTAGCCAGGTTACCACCGCAAAATCACTTGGAGTGACCATCGATAACAAACTCGATTGGAGCAGTCACATCGATGAACTAACAAAGAAAGTCGCTTCTGACATTGGGGCTATAAAACGAATAAGGCACCTTGTCCCTCAAGCGACTTTGCTTCTAATATATCAAGCTCTGATCACAGCCACATTTTGACTGTACTATTGTAATATTGTTTGGGGAAACTGCGGGATAACTTTGCAGAACAAAGGAACAGAAACCACAAGACAGAGCAGGCCGTGTTTTGACGTATTCAAATTATGACGCTGATGCTGGTCACTTGTTTGAGCTCCTGAGATGGAAAAACCTAGCTTCCCAGCAGCAAATTCAAAGAGCCATAATGGTCTTTAAGTCTCTGCACGGTTTAGCTCCAGATTATTTATGTTCTAAATTTGAAAGACGAGAAACTGCGTAGAACCTAAGAGACTCTGAGAATAAGCTTAATGTTCCTTTGCCACGCACAAACTATTACAAAAATAACTTTAGCTATAGTGGCGTCACCCTTTGGAACAGACTTCCTCGTGACGTAAGACAAGCAGAGTCCCTTGGGTTATTTAAGTGTTTAATTAAAGAAGTACGTTCAAGCACGGCATTCGTGGAAAGCAGCTTTAGTTAGGTTTGTACTTTAAGTTTAGTTTTTATAGTATCTTAGCCATTTAATGCATGTTTATGTATTTAAATGTTTTTATGGCTGATGAGTTGTCCGTGGGTAAATAAAGATTATCTATCTATCTCCTACCCAAGCCCCTGCTCGTCACTAGTCTCAACTGCAATGTAACAGGTTTCTGCTTCATGACTTCACGTGGATTAATCACTCGCATCTGATATTTTCAATGTTTTCCAGAGTTCGAGCTCCTTCCACAGGTATTTAACGTATTTTAAAAGAATATCATGTACCTGGAATTCACTAAGCGAAGATTTCATTGTTGTGCACTGATTTTAGCCTATTAATGAGCTTTCGATCCGAGATGAGTAAATGAATTAAATCTCAATTTCAACCCAGGAGCAGATGTTTTTACACGCTTTTTTTTTTCACACAGTATGAAAAGGCGGCATGAGGGTCAAACAAAATTGTACCAGTTCAAGAACTGCCGTTTACTGAGAGACAGTAAATTAATTGAAGAAGACCTTTGGGTGAGAGACGGCAAGATTATTGATCCACGAGATGTATTTTGGGGAGGGAAAGTTCTCGCCGATGTTCAAATTGATTGTAACAGTTTAATCATAAGCCCAGGATTTATTGATCTCCAAATAAATGGTAAGTTCTCATTTTGTCTACATAACTTGAAACTGTTTTGCGATTGAGATGGTTGCAGCCTCTTGCTAAGGGGATTAGGGAAATGGTTGTGCTTTTGCTCCATCTTGAAACCTATCACGTTCATGTTGTTTGAAGGGGGTTGGGTTTGTGTTTGTCCCTGTGGAGGCTGTATAGGCACTTAACCTTTACACCCTAACGTCAGTATTCATATTCTCCACACTGTTCTCTGTACATTTACAAAGGTGCTGACAAGGAGAATTTGTCTAACAATCAAGAGTTTCTTCAGTTGATGATCATTTCCTTTATTCTCATGACATTAATGTGTGATTCAGTGGTAATATTGTAGAGAGAAATTTGATGCTGGTCACTCTTAGGTGTTTTAGGGTTTAGACTCCACATTGACCTTGTAGGGTTCCTCAGATCCCCAAGGTAGAAAGAGAATCTTCCAGCAGACCATGATTTCTCTTACAGCTTGATGGGGCTCTGCCTCTGCTTATGTTTGTCTATGTATACATAGGAGACAATGAAGCCTTGTATTTTCTTTAATATTTGTTACATTCAAGGTGGATTTGGAGTTGATTTCTCTTCTGATCCCGATAAGTTGGAGGAAGGTTTGAAGACTGTTTCCAAGGGTTTGTTACAGCATGGTGTGACATCTTACTGTCCTACAATTGTCACATCATCGCAAGCAAGTTACAATGAGGTAAATAATATCCTATTATGGAATAGCAACATGCACACTTAAAGGCCTGTCCTGTTACAGCTTATCATGGTTTCTGTTGCATGGAGTGACAGGAAATATTACATGTTCTTGTAGTGTTGCTTTCTTCTCTAGGAAAATCTAGCCATATCAGAAGCTAATAAATCCTTAACCCTTCAACTCCCAGATCAAATTTGTACTTCTCTTCACTGTCAACCATATAATTCTCATGATGTTAGTTCAGAGAATTTAGTATTGGATCAGCCAATTATCCCCTAATTGATATTTTTCTTTATTCTCATCACTTATCTGGTCAGTATTATATTGATATTATAAGGAGAAATTCTGTCTTGGTCACTCATGGGAGTTAAAGGGTTAAAATGCTGTGTGGAACTTTCATTTGTCCCCAGATTTTGAAGAAGATAAAACGAACCCCAGGTGGAGTTCATGGTGCAGAAGTATTAGGTGAGAATTACCTAATAATGATAACAATATCAAAATGATGAAACTGATGGTTTTGATAAATATCATGATGGTGATAATTTGACAATGGAGATGTAGATGATAATGCAATCATTATAGTTGTGCAGGGAATGACATTTATGACAGCTGCGATAATGGTGATGATGATGATAATCATGAGGATAGTGACTGTACACCTTGAGACGGAACAGTAGTAGTGTGTTGACTAAATCAGCAATCCTTGTATGATTGTGGTCATTTTGTAGTTAATTCTAACACCATGATGATCACAGATGAATTAAAAGGGTTAAAGAAACTCAGTTGTTAATCATCATAATCGCAGGTGCCCATTTGGAAGGTCCATTCATAAATCCTGAAATGAAAGGAGCTCACAAAGAACATCTGATGAGGCAGATCAGCACCAAAGGAGCCCAAGAAATCGAGGACTTTTATAGCTCATTAGATCATGTGAGCATCATAACAATAGCTCCCGAACTGGCTGGGGAAAGTATGGAGTCCATACAACAGTTAGTAAAGAGGAACATTGTGGTATCAATAGGTGAATTTTAGAAACAACTTTTCCTGTTTTATCAATGGAAAAAAGAATATGACCTTGTAATCTACCAGGCTGTGTAATCAAGTATAGGGGACCTGACTGCTTTTAAAAAGCCACTTGATTATTCTGACAGGCAGCTTTTATTTTTTTGCTCTAGATAGAGTACATTATTACTATCTTAGGTGTTGCAATCATCTTGTATTTTCTACCAAAATTTTTATTCTCCAAAAGTTTTCATTTAAAGGAGGAATCCACTGTCAGTACTGTGTTCAATCATTACTAACCATTACTTGAAATGTGGGAGAGGCTAATATCAGCAGACTGGACTGTGGAGGGGAGGGGGGGGGGGGGGGGGTCAAAAGGTCCAGGTTTGAGTCCTTAGCAGGTCATTTATTATGGTTTTGGGAAAGACACTTAACTCACAGAGACCCTCTCCACCCAGGAGTAACAATGGGTCCTGGCAAACTATCAAGGATACCTGATAAAATGCTTGGGGGTAGCATTCAGTGCTATGGAAACAAGGATATCAAACTGTGGCAGTATGAGCTGTTAATGCATGCTTAAGAGCAGACTTTACCTTTACATTTGTTGCTCAAAACAGTTGAGATTTCCTATCTTTGCAGGTCACTCTGCAGCAAACTTGTCCATTGCAGAGAAAGCAGCAGACAATGGTGCTACATTTATCACTCATCTATTCAATGCCATGTTGCCAGTAAGTATTGTGTTAGCAGGTCAGAAGGTCAGTAGGTCAGAAGGTCAGAAGGTCAACAGACTTTACTCAAGCCAATTAAATGAAGAGCCCCTTATTGATCACATAAAATTTTCAGGGGGGTTGAACCTTCTGTCTTTATGGAAATCAAGGTGAATTTGAGAAAATTAATATACAAGGACAGTAGCCCCTTGAGTACTATAATTTGATCTGAAACAGAACAATAAAACCACAATAAGGCAAATTAGGTCTGTCATCCTGTATTTTATTGTAATATATAATGTAGAACCTATGACTATAACTTTTGATTTTAGTTCCATCACAGAGATCCTGGAATTGTAGGACTTCTCACAAGTTACGATATCCCTAAACCCATATTCTATGGACTTATAGCTGATGGAATTCACACACATCCAACAGCCACAAGAATAGCACACAGATCACATCCTAATGGTATGGAAGAGTTCTGTAGCCTTACCAGTCTCCCACTTTGAAAAGGGGGTTAATTTCTTAAGAAACTATGGTGCTGTGTCAGTAGCACCTCATTTACAGGTGTACTGGGGACCAAGGAGAGAAGAACACAGATCATTATTTTCCAGGAAAAACTTATTCCTTGACTGTAATGGCTTCTGTTGCAGTGATGTTGTGATTGGTTCTCATACAATTTTGAAAAGCATATCTTTCTGCGAAACCTGTAGGAAGCATCCTTTTCTGATGCAACTGATGTCATACTCCACCCATGCAATAAACTTGTTCTTGAATACCTCACATCATTTGATATGTAATATACATTAGATCCTTCCCCTTTCTCTTTCAAACTTTCACAAACAAAAAAGCTTGTGCATTTGGTAATCTTGTTTTCTTTTTTTCTCAAACAGGACTTGTTTTAGTCACTGATGCTATTGCTGCCCTTGGACTTCCTCCAGGATTACACAAGCTCGGCCCAATGCAAGTCGAGATAAATCATGAAAAAGCCACCTTAAAAGGAACTAACACACTTGCAGGAAGGTATAGTCTATAGACACTATGCTACACCCTATGGGAACCAATTTCACTAGGACTATTTGGGCACCTGGGCTGGGTGAGGAAGTCAGAACTCCCCCCTCCCCCTTCACACTGATTCCTGTTTATCTGTGCCTTTTTTTTTTTTTTTACATTATTTCATCTAAAGTATTTTACACCTTTGCACTCTCTCCTCCAATCAGCCCCTCCTCCCCTAGCACAATTACTAGTTCCTTTCACAGTAATACAAAACAAGATAATCCTCTTTGTAATAAGTTAGAATGCTCATCCACCCTAACATTAGCATGCACATTCCCCATACTGTTGTTAATACATTTCCTAAGGTGTTGACGAAGAGAATTTGTTTAACAGTGGAGAGCTGAGCCAACGTGTAGCTGTACCCTCCTCCCCCCCGCGCGCAAGGTGAAACGGAAGCGATCGAACTTTTACGCCAACCTGACACTAATCTTATAGCGGGGAGGGGATGGTACGGCTACACGTAGGCTATCGAGAGTAGCTAGCCTACGTGTAGCTGTACCCTCCCCCCGCAAGGTGAAACGAATGCGAGGGAATGTCCACGCAAACCTGACACTAATCGTGTTCCGTGAGGTCACTCTAATTTATGCAAAACAATGTCACTTGCTAATATTTTTTTACGAAGTGACACGTGTTAGCGTAAAGGTTATCGAGATAAACAACAACATTGAAGTGAATTTATTTTTCCATTTTTCTGGTAAATTTGCAATTTAGCGACCGAGTTCAAATGTGAACGGCACAATGAACATAGTGACCGGTTCATCTAGTAGTTACGAAAACGAAGACCTAAGACCATCTACGAAAACGAAGAGCCATTACGAAAACGAAGAGCCATTACGAAAACGAAGAGCCATTACGAAAACGAAGAGCCATTACGAAAACGAAGAGCCATTACGAAAACGAAGAGCCATTACGAAAACGAAGAGCCATTACGAAAACGAAGACTCATTACGAAAACGAAGAGCCAATACGAAAACGAAGAGCCATTACGAAAACGAAGACTCATTACGAAAACGAGGAGCCATTACGAAAACGAAGAGCCATTACGAAAACGAAGACTCATTACGAAAACGAAGAGCCATTACGAAAACGAAGAGCCATTACGAAAACGAAGAGCCATTACGAAAACGAAGAGCCATTACGAAAACGAAGACCCCCTGCGAAAACGAAGACTCATTACGAAACCCCCCCACCTACGAAAACGAAGACATATTACTAAAACAAGTTCAAAAGAGGTTGGTATTACCATTGTGGACAAAGATTATGTTCATGAGACACACTACGAAAACGAAGATCCTTACAGAAATCTTGAATTCTGAATTTGGCACGTCTGCAATTTTATCCGAAATATTTCAACAGTAGAGCCCCATGAAGCCTTCAATGGGACTACTTTAAAGCTAAAACGACTACTACTCTACTGTTGATCTTCGTTTTCGTGGGGGGGGGTCTTCGTTTTCGTGATGGGTCTTCGTTTTCGTAGGGGGTCTTAGGTCTTCGTTTTCGGGGTCTTCGTTTTTGTAAGTACCTCTAGAGAAGAAAGGCGATCGATCACTGGCGCTGCTTAAGATATTAAAAATTTTCCATAGCCAGTTGGTAACGAAACGGAGGCAGTGTTACCTTCGAAAAACATATCTATGGCTTTCTGCTGTTCTTCTTGAAATGTCTATATCCCAAAAGTCGCGCAAATTTGCCTTGAAACTTCGTAGATCGCTGTTTTCTGAAAAGTTGACCATATACGCGTTTTGTTCACTTGTTCGTTACTATGAAAACAAATTACCAAATCTAGCCAATCAGAATTGACGAAAGAATCGACAAAAAGGGGTTAACCGAAAAAAGGCACTATATTTTATTGCAAAAAGAGAAACGTCACCGAACATGGGTAGTGTCAGGTTTGCGTAGACTTTGCCTCACCTCCGTTTCACCTTAGCGGGGAGGGGATGGTACGGCTACACGTAGGCTATCGAGAGCTTCTTTAATTGATGAACATTTCCCCTGTTCCTGTGACCTTAATATTTGTTTCAAGTGTGACATTGTAAGAAGAAATTACACGCTAGTCACTCTTATAGGTCAGAGGGTGGAAAGAACAATGCACAATCATTGTGTTTGATGATCAAAGCTCTCCTTTATGACAAGGAAAGCTTTTCAAGGGTGTAAGTGACATCTGAAGACCTTTCTATGTCTGTTACTCACTATGTGAACAAGATGATATTAAATGTGTTTATTTTAGCATTGCATCAATGGATGTCTGCATTCAGAGATTCAGAAAAATGTCAGGTGAGCACCTGTTGTCTTCTGTTTAGTGTAGGTAATAAAACATGAGTTCAAGTGCAATTCGGTGGAAATAAGCACAAGTAAATTTTTCAAAGACAACAAAATTGCACGAGACCGTTGGGCAGGTGCAATTTGTAGTCTTTGAAAAATTTAAAAGTGCTTATTTACACCAAATTATACGTACAGGAAATCATGTTATTACTTATTTATCATTTAAATGAAAAAAGCATCACGATAGTCAAGACAGAATTTTTACAACACGTTTACACTATTTGTAATATCCACCCTTTACACGTTTGCACTCATGCTACATGAAAAATGGACTCGTTTTCAGCGTCATTTTTTCGTGTGCGTTATTAACCTGTTTACAGAAGTTCACAATTTCCACTGTTTCAATCATTTGCTTGCTGGATGATGAATTAAGCAATACACTTTAATCACCTCTAGGTACTGAAAGGCCTAAAACTCACTGTGGCAGCAAAGTATCATTTCCAAGCCCTCTGACCCCAAGGACTGACCCAAAAGGAATTTTACAATATCCATACATTCCCAAATTAAGATGTAATTAGAAGGAAAAGAATTCCACAATGGCAAATTGTTTGATTTTCCTTCAAATTCTCAGAGTGCAAATTATGAAAAAAAAAAAAAAGCAGTTGGTGAGTAGAATTTGTATTTAAATCTTGAGAGTGAAAGGTTAAAGGAATCCTCTTCTTTCAAAATGTTTCAGGCTGCAGCGCAGTGGAAGCACTTGAGGGTGCTACTCTACACCCTGCCCAGGTGCTGGGGATTGAACAAAGGAAAGGCACCTTGAACTACAAATCTGATGCAGACTTAGTCTTCCTGGATGAAGACCTCAATGTGCATGCTACATTTATTGCTGGTCAGCCAGTATGGCTGCAGAAGGAAGGTTTAGTGACTGGTGTCATGAAACTGAACTACAACATGATGGGGAGTAAATCAAAAAGAGTGTCACTCCTAGACTAGCTGGATAATCATTCAGTACACAATGGCAACAACCAACCACTAACTTAGAATTTCTGGACTGAGCATTCACATCTAAGATAAGTCCTTCAAATTTGAACTCAACCCTTTGACAAAATAAGCAAATAAGCACTATGAATTTGCCACCAAAATGTTATTAAAAATTGTTAAAAATTGGTGTGAAACTGTTACCCAAATCCTAACAAATTGTTTTCCAATTTTGATTTTATTATTAGAAGATCTAAAACTATACTTAAATGAATTTGACAAAGTATATTTTTAAAAGAAAAGATTATTCTGAAAGCAGTTGCTCAGCAAATAATTTTGTAAATATTGTGGTCAAAAACATGCAATATCCAGCCTCACTGCCATCTTTCTAAGATGCAGAGCTGGATCAATAGGCATGAAATCTGATATTTTTTAGTCCATTCAGAGTGTGGTTATAACAGCATCTGAACTATGGTGCTAACCCAACTGCCTTCCCAAACAGTAATGTCTAATAACTTATTGATTTCCAAAATTGCACCCCAAAAGAACAAATGCCTTTCTGAATTGCATTCCTAAAATGACTCTAAATCTTACAATGATTCTGAATCATATTCTCAAATGCTGCAAATGTAATTAATACACACAAAAAAGTTACACAACTAGCCACTGAACCGAAGAATTACTTGTAATTTTTCCCAACTTTCTGTAAATTTATATTACAAAGGAATAATCATTCTCATTTATTCCTAATTTTTGTCTGTACCATCTTAATAAACAAAAAACTGTTCTCATTTTAATAATTAAGCAACAATATTTCATGCATAATTTGAAGAACAAGAAATGTATATACAAATATTAAAAGCATCTTTATAGTGACAAGGAAAGTTTAGGGATGATCCCTTCAAACAGCTGTTTCTAAAGGGCTTGTGAAGTTATGGAGGTTTCCCAGAAAGAAAATTTTCAAAATTGTATGAGAACCAAATCAGAGGGAAGCTTGTTCATTGAAGTTTCTTCCTTATCTGCATTTATTTACAGTTACAAAACAGGAATAGTTATTCTCTAACACTTTGAATTAAAGACAATCCAGATAACCCAACTCTCTTGTAACAGTAATAATTAATACTTTAATTTAATGGGAAATGTGAAAGGGAGTGGTGATAATTTTCAAGTAGTTTGGTGATCTTGAAGCACAGTATGAAATAAATATTCAAATATAGTTTTTGATCAAAGAGACAAAAATTCAATGATCTGGAGCCTAATTCTTCTTTAAACCCTAAGAGTGACCAGCATCTAATTTCTCCTCACAGTAATACTGCTGAATCATTCATGAAGAGAATAAAGGAAATGATCACCAACTTTGCTTTGATTGTTAAATTAATTCTCCTTGTTAAAACCAAAGGAAATTATAGAGAAGATTATGGAGAAGATGGATACTGATGTTAAAGTGTAAAGGGTTGACAGAACAAGACATTAACCCTCTAACTCCCAGAAGTGATTAACATGAAACTTCTCCCTACAATATCCATACATTCTTCAGCAAACAGGTAATGAGAATATTCAAACTTATCTCGTAGAGGCTGCTATCTTGATCTAGCACCAAGTTCTCAAAACTAATTTACAAGGAAATGTGTAGCAGCTAGAGGGGAGAATTAACAATCAGATCTTGGGAGTGAAAGGGTTAAGTAACATTCTACTGATGAACTGTGTGAATCTCCACATACAAGAAAGTTGAGGTGGAACCAGCCACTTGATCAAAATGAAGCAGAGCAGTAAAAGATAGCAACAGCCTGTACAATACACCATGATGTTGAGTCATCAATGTACTGAACTTTATGTCGTATGCCATGCCTTGTGAAACAAAAATGCACCCAGTGCAACAACTGCCACTCCTGCTACAAGTAAAGAGCCACTTCTTAGTGATGATTGGGTTCCTTGTGGTTTCTCATCAGTTATCAGGTCTGGACTTGTGTTGAACACCTTACACTTGATCTGCCAATGGCAAAAAAATGGTTGAACTGTAAGCCTCATGACAAGTAACAACCAACTGTCTGCCCATCTGGTGTAACAGTAATACTAAATGTGACCAATTCTATTTGAAATCATGTGTAGTGTGAAAATTTTGTTGGTTTGAAATGTTGCAGATTGTGTCTTCAGTACGCAAAATTGAAAACAAAAAACAAAGTAGTCAAAATTAAGTAAGAAAAATGTCAAAATAGAATCCTATGATAAAAATTAACCCTTCAACTCCCATGAGTGACCAAGGCAATTAATTTTTTCCCTACAATATCAACACAATATCCACCAGAACAGTGATGAGAATAAAGAGAAATATCAATTTGGGGATAATTAGTTGATCCAATACTAATTTCTCTGAACTAAACCATGTATGTTTGTATGGTTGACAGTAAGGAGAATCACAAATTTGATCTGGGAATTAAAGGGTTAACTACAAATTAAGTGTAAAATTGTTTTCTTAGACTGCCATGGAATGCCAATCTGTGAATCAATTACAGTGTAGCTCTGTGTATGTCTAAATGACTCTGTATGTTGGAAGATAAAATATTTTGAACAATATTCTGCAACTTACATTACACAGAATAAGGGGTGCCAAAGACTCCTAACATAATCATAAAGTTATCCATCACATACCTTGGAAATTCTTGTCTTCACAGTGTTGAGTTCTTCATTTAAACTTTCAACAGTGTCCACAGCCTCCTTAGAGTACATTTCCATTCCCTCAGCTTCTGTAACATCCTGAAAATGACAGGAAAATTAAGAATTCATACCCACAATCTTGCAAGTGTAACATTTTGCTGAGTTGTTATCAATGACACTTCAATTGTGTTTCTGAGGAGAGTGCAACTTAATCTTAAGGAGCCTTTTGCAAGCCCAAAGTGATGTTTGTCATGGTTTGAGTTCCTAATCTGTGCCAGCTAAGAATTATAAAGGATAATGAAAAAGACATAGAAACTCAAAGAAAAAAAGGGCCCTCTTCAGGTGACAAAGGCATGTTCTATTGGTACCACTTCTGGTTCCCCAAAATAAACTTCCAACAACTGAAAAGACTTTGGAAAAAAACATTGTGGTCACTGATTACACCAACTTACACTTTATTATACCTGCACAAATTCCAGAGGTTCTTTTATGGTATTTAAGTGTTTCTGTACATATGAAACACTGCTCCTGACAAACGCCAAATGTCTTGACACATTGGCCAAAATGACTGTCACTTCTGAGGCACTATAAGATTGAAAAGGTAAACAATTTATGATTTGACAGGCCTCACCGAGATGACACACCTACTCCAAGACGTCAGAACAGAAAAGAAGATTCCACCTTAAAATATGTTTTTCCTTTGACTGTAAGCTGGTCACATCCCACTCCTTCTTGTGAACATCTCTTATGGAATCTAATATCTTTGTTCGCACACCCACTTGAGTAATTCCCATCTATTACGAGCAAAATAAAAAAAAGTGGTTCGACTTTTTACAAATCCAAACAGACGGCATCTCAATCAAGGATTGCAAAACAAAAGGCAAAGTGGTCACAGCAGCCAATCAGATCAAAGGAAATATTACAAAGAATCCAAGATACCATACAAAAACATTAACATGGGATAAATAAGTTGCAATTGGTTTTTGTTTTGCTCTTGATGTTTGCAATGATGATGCAACTCCTTGAAGTCAATCACAGGAAAAAGTGAAGCAACACCAAAACAATCTCAGATTTTCCCCACTTATTTAAAAATCAATCTTAGTGTGTTACTCTAATAGACATAGTAGCAAGGAATGCCAGAGTCAAAAACAAGACGAACAGGTTTGAGTTTTAAGTAGCACCTTTGCCTTGTACTTTGGCAAGACAGGTTATTCTGGCAGAGTTTCTCTCTACCCAGAACAGTTATTCCCTGTTAGGAAAACCAACAGAGATATTTGGGGTAGAAACAAATGGAAAAAAATGATGCAATATTTTTCCAATCATGATCAATGCATTAGTATTTTAAATAATTTATATTCTACATGTATAGAGCCCATTCACACCTGGTCAAGCTCCTTTTCAGTCAGATTAAGGAATTCCTCAAAAGTCATCTTGTGTTCCTAAACAAAAGGAATTTAATTCAGGCAGGACTGTCAGCCTGCTAACTGACCCAATGACTAAGGAGTGGCCATGGATGTATGAGGGATTTATCTGCTTGATAAATGTTTTGTGAGTAGAGGGACTGATTGACAAAAATCACTGAGGATGGCTCATTGACAGAAGGAACTGAAGGACTGAAGGACTAACGGACTGAAAGACTGGTGCAATGTTGGACTGTAAAAGTAACTGCTGACTAACTGACTGATCAACTGATTGACCCATAGACAGACTGATGGAATAAAGGAGCGATAGACTGACTGACTGACCAACTGACTGATTGACTGACACAGTGATGTACAGACTGCAGCCGACCAGCAGATTGATTCAGTACCATATTTACCTGGCATGTATAATACACACTTAATTTTATGAAAATAACCCTCAGAATCATGGTGCATATTTTACATGGTTCCTGTTGTTTGTCACACACATACTAATTTACATACAACATAAAAAAAAAAAAACAACAATAAGTATGTCAGTCCCTCTGTCAGTCAAACAACAAACTTCCTAAACATTGAAATGATGGATAACATGCAACTAACCAACAACCAGACTGACTGACAGACAGACAGACAGACAGACAGAGTATTATTTTTACCTGAAATACTGGCAATAAATGTGTCAACTCCAGGCCACACAAGAACATTTCAAGGTCATTATACCTCATTGAACTGCAATCAAATGAAACAAGATCACCATGACACTTATATTTCATTGATCAAAACTAAAACAAACTTCTCAAATGTGATTGGTCATCACTAGCCTGATTTGAGCACTAATAAGACAGTGTACAATCATGTCATGCTTGTAATTGGACTGCGAAATAGGACAGTTAACATGTCATGCCTATGTAAGTGGACAGAACACGTCATGAGCATGTGCTGTTGTCTCATATTTTGCCAAGTTAAGTGTTGATATTTTTATGAAAACGTGCAACCAATGTCTAGTTTCTTTCTCAAATTTTTTCATAGTTTTGATTAATTGGTAACAGGACTTCGTGTCATCCAATTCTGTCTGTAATCATACTTGTGATTAAAAAATTGGACTCCCACTTTGCATTCATCTGATTTTGTTAATCACTCATATGATAAGAGACAGCATTGGACTCCACTTGGTCCTATTACCATTATTAATCAAAAGGCATTCCATGGAGCTGCTTTCAGGAAGAATACGGGGCATATACCTAATGTACAAAACATTGAGCAAATGACACGCACTGAGAAAAAATCCTCAAATTTTTATTTTTACCATACTTAGATTTTTAAGATTTTTTTTTCTTTTAAGTTGTTTTTCCATCCAATCATACTTTAAAAAAGTTTCTAACCATAGTTCTACAACAATTACATCAATTAGAGAAAACATCAATTGTGGCAAACATTACTGAAAATAGCCTTTTAAACTACTAAATATTTGGCAATTACCTGGAGCTATCCTCGCTTACACGAACTCTGCAAAAAGATAAAAAAAAACAATAAGGCTTAAGAACTACATGTAGTTAACACAACACAGTACTTCCATCCATAATTTGCCCTACAGTTCAAGAACTTCAGTCAAACCTGTCTTACGCAGCACCATAATTAGGCAGGCACCCTGCATTAAGCAGATGTTCATAAAGTGGTCAATAATGGCATAAAACGACATTTTCATCCTTTCATTATAATACCCCTATTCTGTGGAACCTGTATAAAGTGGTTAATCAGTATTTGGTGGTCAGTCACCAAGACATTCCTAGTGATTGATGGCTTAATACATGTTTGACTGTAATAATTATTATTATAAGTTCAATTATGCCATCAACACAGTGCTTCTAAGGGTATTGGTAATGTAAGGATAAATTCTTTTTCAGCAATCCCTGGGGATGAACCAAAAAGAGTTACCCTGTGTAACACTGTTAAACATTTTCAAGATTACTCCTACTCCAGGCTTAATGCCTCATAGTAAAACACAAAAACCAATTAATTTATTTCCCGTGAAAGAAGCTAACAGAGTGTCCTTACTTTGAAGATGCTACTGGTTGTGGAGCCACTTCACTGGGCGGCTGCTTCCCACTTGCAGCTAAAGAAAGCATATCTGCAACCTGATAAATGTGAGACATTTCTGCGTGTGCGTCAAGCATGGTGTCATCATTCTACATCTGATTGTAATGATTGGTTTAAAAAATGGAATCTTTATGCAGATTTCATGAAAAAACTTCTGGTTACTAACCCGATGATGCTCACTGGAGTAGGCAAGATCACTTGGTGCCTGGCCATCATTGGAGTATATCTTAGGGTCTGCTCCATGCTCCAATAAAATGCGCACAACTCTACCATGACCTCGATTAGCAGCCCATGACAAGGACTGAAAAACAAAATAATTGACATTCAGCATGGTTTAAAGAGGTTTAGCTATCTTCCAAGATACCAATACCAAATTATGTTTCTGGAGCTCATGAAATCCTCTTTAACAGCAACTCACCGTCCAGCCTCGCATGTCCTGTTTGTTAATCTCTGCGTCATGATCCAGTAGTACTTCACAGACTGTAACTCTTCCTTCCCTTGCAGCATACATCAGGGGCGACATTCGAAATCTAGTTTAATAAAAAATTCCACATCTTTCTGCTCACCTCATGCCTACATTTAGTAGCTTTTTTCACAGTATTATATATGCCTTATTAACCAAGCAGAAAGTCAAGATGGCTGGATATTGGCCGAGTTGTTTTTTTTGCACTTCTATGGGCCAAGACAAAGGCATGCTCCATAAAAACACACACACAAAAAAAAAGGACAACGCAATAACCAGTATCTTGACCAAACACAGCACTGCTAGTCATATAATGAGAGAAGATACTTGAATTTAATAAGCCCACTTACTTGTCATATACATTGACTCTGGCATTCCTTTCCACCAACAACTCCACACATGTCAGGACCTGGTCCTCTGGCTTGTTCCCAGGAACAGCACATACTGCCATCAGAACAGTGTACATCTCTGAATACAAGCATGAAAGGAAAATGTTAATAAGCCTGCACAACCTAACATCAGTATGCATAGTCTCCATACTGTTCTCTATACATTTCCTAAGGTGCTGACCATGAGAATCCATTGCAGGTCAGCCATATGTGTACCACATGTTCAATGCATACTAGCTTGGACTGGCAAATGATTCCGTGACCTTAACCCTTTAACCCCTAAGAGTGACAAGCATCTAATTTCTCCTCACAACATCACCTCTGATTCACATATTCAGGTCATAGGAATAAAGGAAATGATCATCTAGTAAAAAAGCTTGTGATTTCGTAGAAAAGGTTGTGGTTAATCATCGTGGTGAATAACACTAAAAGCTAAGTTTTTCATTTGTCTCACAATGTAGTCACATGTGATGTAGATCATGACATTTCGCCTGCATACTGCTAGTCTTCTTCAGGCGATGAGGTCGACCGGTTATGCATGATCTCATAAAGCATGATGCTCTGCTGTGATTAGTTTTTTTTCAATGTTAATATTGACTATTACCTTTTTTAAAGCTTGTGATTGTTTAACAAATTCTCCTTGTCAGCACCTTAGGAAATGTATACAGAACAGTATGGAGAATATGGATACCAATGTTAGAGTGTAAAGGGTTAACTAAGAAACTTTCACCAACCGAACTGTTATTACCTTTCTGGAAGTTTACATTAGCCCCTTTATTAGCAAGAAGTTCCACCATATCTGGCAAGGCTAAACTAGCAGCTAGCATCAATGGAGTCCATCCTGATTTGAGCTGAACATCTACATCAATTCCTATTTTCAGAAAAAAAAAACAAACAAAGCCATTTAGCCTCAAGAGCTGCAGAATGGTATCTAGAATGAATATGATCAAAGGGAAGAGATATTCTTTACAACTACCACAGAAATAAGCCATAACTGCATCTCACCATTGTCCAGATATTTTTGAACAGCAGCAGTATTTCCTCTCACAACTGCGACTCGCAAATCCTCCACAGCTAACAAGGCAGCAGCTTTCTTAGCCTCTGCTTCTTTTAAATTGTTTGATGAGAAATTACTCCTAAAAAAGTAAAGACTTTCGATTAGAATTATAAGCTGTAGCCAAAACTCTCCATGGTTACTCTCAAAGAAGAAGAAAGTCACTCCAAAGCAGATTTCTTCTAAAAATATTGTCAAGTATTGGTGATTTTACCATTGGTCTTCCACTAACCTGTTTGCTTGCCATAGATTAACCTTCCCAGGGGGAGTAGGGGGATAATTGTACATGCAATAGTTGCAGAGAAGGTCACATATTCACACAAAAACAACACAAATCTTCTCAAGAAATGCACATCAGAAAGATTGAAGGCCAGTGGACAGTTTCATATAAGTACTCCGAAAAGTAAGACCAAACTAACCTCAAAAACAAAAATTTTCAATGGAAAGAAACAACAACAACACGTACTGCCTCAAAATATCAAAAGAATAGGCAAATTAGCCCCAATTTTACCATGGGTCAATTTCCAGGTAATCAATGATACTTCATATTCTCCAAACTGTTCTCTATACTTTCCTTTTTGGTACTGACAAGGAGAATTTGTTTAAAATCAAGAGCTTCTTTAGTTGGTGACCATTTCCTTTATATCATATGATCTATCACTCTTAAGAGGACTGAAGTGTTAACAACAAACATAACAAGGGTGGAGGAACTCTTAGAAATATCTATGACAGTTTATAAACCTTCTTGATGATTTTCCTTTGCGGTTAGCTACCAAACATGGCCTTGAAAATCCCCCACGTCCTCTCCCTCTCTGTAACAGGTGCCCTCGACCTCTGCCTACTCCAGATCTGTCAGACATCGAGTTTAAACTAATCTCATTTTGTTGGCTGTCGTTATTTGTAATTGATGTCTTATTAACTTTGGCTGGCGTCGTTTTCATTGACCTCGCCTGAACAGTATTAAAGTCAAGCTCGTCACCGTCTTCATTGTCAAATTCTTCGCCTGCAGGAATCATAGGGAAGTTGTTTTGTGTATGATCTTTCCTGTTTATGTCACCATTTGTAACGCCGAAATTACTGTTCGTGTTGTGAACAGTGCCCATATAAAAGCCGTCATCATCTGAGTCGGAATCCTCCGCTCCTGCAGGCAGATACATCTCAAAACACCTTCACTATCGTAAGATGCAGAGAAAACTGGCTTCAAAAGACTAACGAAACCGTTTTGGCTCACTGTTCATATAAAGATTTTTTTGCTTTTCACGACAAGTTTTGCACACGTGCTTCGTGCGGTTCACCGCTGAACGCTTGCTGGCGATTTCTAACATGGCGACGGTGCTTAAAGGTGTCGCTTGCCTCGTCGCTGGGGGAGCTAGTGGTTTAGGTCGAGCTGCTGCGCAGAAGTTGGTTCAGCAGGGCTGTAGAGTTGTAATAGCAGATCTACCATCGAGTGAAGGAGACAAAGTTGCCAGTGATCTTGGAGAGAAATGTGTATTTGTTCCCACTGATGTAAGGAGGAATTCCGCTCTAGTCTTCCAAAATGGGGCCGGATAGGGCCAGGTTGTGTGGAGGGAGGGGTAAGCCGGTAAGGGGTGGAGGGAGGGGAACATTGTATGCGACTATGCAGAAAGTGAACCTCGTGGATCAGCTTACGTGTCCAACTCTCTATGAAGTTCTAGGAGATAAAAACTTTAAGGATAGGTTCAAACAGTAGGGAGGATTTCCCAGGGGAAATATATGAACATACGGTGTTGTAGGAGGGAGATTGGGTCGAGGCTGGCACGACACACCGAGCCTCGTCGATCTGTCCTGTACCAATCCCTCAGTATCTCAATCTCTTCTCATCAAGCGATCTTGCTTTGCATCCTAAGAAAACCAAGTTGCTTGCTCTCTACTACCCGCTTGCTTGCTTGCTGGAGAGAAGCAAGGGTCGCTTCAGCAAGCACTGACTTTGTCAAGAATTGTCTCACAGAATTCCTTTCTTCCTGGTGCTTACTAAAGCCAGGTTCTTTATCAGTCTTTCCATTTCACAATAATTCTTTGCAAAAAATTCATAAGTCTTAACTGCCAGAGTATTAAATCAGGGGAAAGTGGATTTTGCAAGTATAATTAGCCTTTTTGGTCTTCCAGGTTTCATCAGAATCTGATGTGAAGCAAGCCATTAAAACAGTTGTAAACAAGTGTGGTCCACTGCGTATTGCTGTGAATACCGCTGGTATGGTAAAACTAGCAAAAACTTTGTCAGACGAGGGTGAGGTCCACCCTCTTGATATTTTTGAAGAAATATCAAAGGTACTATCAGTTTGGTTTTAATCCAAAGCAAATGACACTTAATAATCTTTTTTAATATAACATCAGTAAGACTATTGCATCAGTAAACATTCACCCTAATGGGAGACAGTTTTTGAGGTGAAGATCAATGAACTTGATTCCATAAGAAGGGAAGGGGGGAGCAGGCCAGCAATACCAGGTGACATTCAAATGCTTACTGGAATCCTTTCCTAGATTGGGGTTTGACAAACTAATGATAAAAGTCATCTTGGATTAAAATGTTGAGAAAGTGTACACTTCAAAATAGCAGGTACCCTTTGAAGGTTTGACTCCGAATACTCTTGGTTAAGAGTCTTCTCTGCAATTTTTTTGGGAGGAATGATTCCCTTCTCCACACACAAGTGTGAAAGGTCACAGGTGAATTATCAGGAAATCCTGTTGAATATCATCCCTTGTGAAGGGACCAGAAATTCACCTGTTTGACTCATACAGCAGAAACCTGGATAAATTCTGGAAGATGCCAGGGATGGGTACATGGTTATACTTGTTATTGCTGTGTGCTTAGTTCTTCAAATATTAATGTAACCCCATTTCTAATAAAATGTACACCCAAAATGACTTTTCATCCAAGGATTAAGTCAACCTATATGTGAGATATTTTGTGGCTGTTAGTTACTCTGCATTCTAGAAAACCTCTCAGAAATGGATGCCCTCATGTAATTCAAGAAAGATCCCTGATGTCAGAATTCCTGAAATGACAACCTCACATCGGGAACTTTTAAATATCAAGCCTGTTGGTGGTACATACCAAGGCAGGGTACCCCCCTCCCCCATTACCTGTAAGATGTGAGCTACTTCTGTCAAGCACAAAAGTTTAGAAAACATTAGCAAGTTTTAATTTTCTTTTGTGTCTTTCCAGGGCCCTTCCCCGCCCCCCCCCCCCCCCACACGATCCATTTTTTCTCAAAAATGAAAAAGACTGAACTGTTTGTGTACATAAATGGTTTTCAACATAGACAAATGAATGGGGGAAGGGGTGGGGGCAATTTTGGACAAGAAAATTATCCTCAATGAATGGCAAGACATGTTTGACCTATTATAGCTGATGTGCACAACCTTTCCAAAACTCTTTTTTGCTGATCAAAAGCTTGTGAAACTTTTTTATTACCCACTACCTACTCTCAGAAATGTTACTTGCAGATCAACTTGATGGGAACATTCAATGTGACTCGGCTTGCAGCGCAACAAATGGCTACAAATGAACCTGATGAGGGTGGGGAGAGAGGAGTAATTATTAACACCTCCAGTGTTCATGCCTATGATGGACAGTCAGGAAAAGTGGCATATTCAGCATCAAAAGGAGCCATTATCTCTATGACACTTCCTTTAGCGAGAGATCTGGGACGGCATGGTATAAGAGTGAATACAATTGCACCAGGTATATGAATTGAATTTCTCTGCAAACTTGTGTAAAGCAATTACCATCCAAGGCTAAATGACTGTAAAATGAGTTCGTGTGGGAAAAACCGTGTTTGAATAGCTCATATTGTAAAGCGCTGGAATGCCATGCAGGAGGTCGAGGGTTCAGGCCCCAGACCGGACCAACATACAGGGTCTTAAATTAACTCACTATGACATTGACAAATGATTAGACGTTCTAATCTTCTGTGATAAGGACCATGAACCAGAGGCCTCGTCTTCTGTATCTTCTCTTTACTGGTTAGCAGAGGGCGTTAAAGAACCCTGACACTTCTCACAAATTGTGGGAAACGTAGCTCCCCGGCTTGTTATTATTAACACAGGACCCCATTTGAACCAACTTTGAAGCTGAACTGGGCTACGGGTTTGAATCCCGTCGAAGCCTGAAGTTTTCGGGCTTTATTTCTTCTGCAATTTCTTAAATTGCAGAACCGTTGCGAGGTTATTGTCAGTGCACGACAAATTGAATTAACACTTTCTTTTCAAAAACCAGGAATGTTCTTAACTCCAATGTTAACCAAATCAAGACCAGAACCATCAGAACAACAGAAAATGGCTCAGATAGTTCCATTTCCCAAGCGCATTGGAGACCCAGCGGAGTTTGCGCAGCTTGTACAAACAATCATTGAAAATAAAATGATTAATGGTGAAGTTATTCGGATTGATGGCGGCGTGAGAATGCCATGATTACGAAGGAAATTTTCAATTTTTCGCGGACCTCTGCGTTCAAAACGGAAAGGTTGTCACTTACCTCATTAACTTTTTCAGTTGCAAGTTACTCGAGAAGATTCTAATGAAAGGCTTGTTTTCAATATAGGTGCTTGTAATTACGACGAGAGTTTAAAGTTTCAATCGCAAGCTCGACATCACTGAAAGAGGTTAAGTGCACGGCCATGACCACAAAAACGTGGGCTTTTATTTTTTGGAACTTTATCTTTTATTGAAGGTTTTCAGATTCAGTCGCAAGCTGAATATCACTTTCGAGAAATAAACCCTTTGATTCCCAAATCTGATTGTTAATTCTCCCCTCTGGTTGCTACACTTTTCCTTTGAAACTATTTACGAGAATTTGGTGTTAGATCATGATAACAACTTCTACCGGATAAGTTGGAGTATTCTCATTACCAATTTGGTGTACAATGTTCGGATAGTATAAGGTGGAGTGACTTGTTAATCACTTTTGGGAGTTAGAGGGTTAAGTGCACGGAGATGACCCTATAAACGTGGGTGCTTGTTTTAAAAAATCCGGAAATTAGTTGCTACCGATGATAAGCTAGAAAAAAAAATGCCCACCCTCCCCTCCCCCCCCCCAAAAAAAAAACGTCGACACAGTAGCGATTTTGAAATGGTGTTTATAGAATAAAGAACGAGGTCTTCCTTTTAAGAACTTTTAATTATGGAGCGTAAACTGACTCTTCGTTCATCAGTTTTCTTTCGCGTATTAAGGGTAAAACATCCCTAAGACGTTCATATAGTTACACGATATAGTAACTCGATAAGCTGGAAACCACGACGCGAAGCGGAGTGGTTTCTTACGCTTATCTCGTGTTCTCCCAACCTCCCGCGTGTTTACATCAGGCTATGTAAACACGGAAACCATTTTACATTTCTTCATTCTTGCACTTGATGCGCGCGCTTTGCTTATGCTTAATTATGATAAGCCATCTCGTACTTTTCCATGTATATTATTAACACGTGATCACATAATTTCGAGTGCAATTTGGAATAAATAAGCACGAGTAAAGACAACCTCTACAAATTGCATTCCACTCAGTTCAATTACCATTATAAATCATCGCCTTGTTTTCGATAGTGAACTTTGAACGAGCAAAATTGTATTAGTCACTTTTAGTCTGCAACACAGTTTTATTTACAGCTTATCTTAACTACAACTGCTTGTTATTAGCTCCATTGAAATCGATATGCTTAACAGTCTATAACATTCAATATAATTATATCATTATTCGGGCAGCCGTAGGAAAGCCCGAGTCTTAAAATGCAGGCCGTTCTTAGGCGCCAAAAGGGGGGTCATGGTCCTAGGCGTTGCTTGCGTAAACCGCGGAGACTGGGGATGAGAGTGCAGCAACTTGTATTATCATGCGCTCGTTCTTCGCAAACAGCAACAGAACGCCGTGTGTTCCGAAGTCCGCTCTGCAAAGATTCCTGTCTTATACGCGCATCTCACATACAAATACACACGCTGTTCGTGGTAGGCCCACACTAAATGATGTCGAGCGTTTTCGGAATGGGCGGTCCTCGAACTCTCTCGCTTGAAAGCTAGCCAAATGTGCAAAGTTCATACTAGTTCTTACGAGATAACAAATGAGCCACATGTGAGTTCAAACTTCGAAAATACTGGCAAAACTGTGACAGCCGACTTAACAACAAACTATGATGCTGAGGCGAACACCTCACTTGCTGAAAAAAAATCAAGAAAGTCCGTGAACACAACTTCGAAGGTGGCGCTAACAACAGCGAATTGGATAAGGATACTGACAGAAGCAACTTGAATAGTAAGGTTGAATATCTAAGCTTAGCTCATTTGTTAATACCACTCTTATATTGTTGCTTATTGCCACATCATACTTTGTAATTTGTAAACCTTTTAGTTTGTACAGATCAGTTGCTCCATATAAACTTTGAAAGTGATGCACTAAGTTGTCTGTAGATGATATATCTAATAGACCATGTCCCTCGAGTGCGAGTCAAAGAGAGAGAGAGAGAGAGAGAGAGAGAGAGAGAGAGAGAGAGTAGAGTCAAACACTTTAAATTGGCCATTATCAGCATAGAAACTAATACCCACAGCAATACATTCAACTGTTAAAATATTTGACCTATATCATTCTGATATCAATCACTCAAAAGCTCTTATCAGGCCCATACAGTATTGATATCCCTCAATGGTAGGCTCACTGTGGACATTACCAAGGTTACTTTCACTGTATTCTAGTTTGTAATCTTCCTCTAGTACTGTAAGCATTGATGGTAAATCTGTTAGCAGTAAAAATGATTGTCTTGATAATTGTGACAAACTGCTATATAGTTGATTTCCAATAAGCATTATTTGTTTCAGGTCATTGGGATTGCTTATTCCTTTCATATTTTGGGATATTAATACACATAAACTCATTGCAACAACATCCCTTTGACTATATGGTGCTTTCAAGTTTTCCTGGGATCCACAAGGTGCATACAAGGAACAAGGTTTTCTCTATATCATTATAGAGCTTGTTCTTTGTACAATTTCCTCTGTGAATTACACCCTTGAACTCAATATATATACCTTCGAAGTTGTGTTCACGGACATTCTTGATTTTTTCAGTAAGTGAGGTGTTCGTCTCAGCATCATAGTTTGTTGTAAAGTCAGCTGTCACAGTTTTGCCAGTGTTTTCGAAGTTTGAACTCACATATGGCTCATTTGTTATCTCGTTAGAACTAGTACAAACTTTGCACATTTGGCTAGCTTTCAAGCGAGAGAGTTCGAGGACCACCCATTCCTTGTTGACAATCATTTTTACTGCTAACAGATTTACCATCAATGCTTACAGTACTAGAGGAAGATTACAAACTAGAATACAGTGAAAGTAACCTTGGTAATGTCCACAGTGAGCCTACCATTGAGGGATATCAATACTGTATGGGCCTGATAAGAGCTTTTGAGTGATTGATATCAGAATGATATAGGTCAAATATTTTAACAGTTGAATGTATTGCTGTGGGTATTAGTTTCTATGCTGATAATGGCCAATTTAAAGTGTTTGACTCTACTCTCTCTCTCTCTTTGACTCGCACTCGAGGGACATGGTCTATTAGATATATCATCTACAGACAATTTAGTGCATCACTTTCAAAGTTTATATGGAGCAACTGATCTGTACAAACTAAAAGGTTTACAAATTACAAAGTATGATGTGGCAATAAGCAACAATATAAGAGTGGTATTAACAAATGAGCTAAGCTTAGATATTCAACCTTACTATTCAAGTTGCTTCTGTCAGTATCCTTATCCAATTCACTGTTGTTAGCGCCACCTTCGAAGTTGTGTTCACGGACATTCTTGATTTTTTCAGTAAGTGAGGTGTTCGTCTCAGCATCATAGTTTGTTGTAAAGTCAGCTGTCACAGTTTTGCCAGTGTTTTCGAAGTTTGAACTCACATATGGCTCATTTGTTATCTCGTTAGAACTAGTACGAACTTTGCACATTTGGCTAGCTTTCAAGCGAGAGAGTTCGAGGACCGCCCATTCCTTGTAGTTACTGGAACTCTAATACCTTAGATGCAATCATTGAAAATGGATCTCAGCTTAACAATACAATGCAGAGTAAGAACTACTTAACATCTGTTACCCTGCCTGACCGTGTTACAATTTTTGGCACTAACATAAATGTACATGTTAATGAAGTTAGTCACAGAGAATTAAGTAATTTAACTAAAAGCAAAAGGTCTTTACAAACTTTGCACATTTGGCTAGCTTTCAAGCGAGAGAGTTCGAGGACCACCCATTCCTTGTAGTTACTGGAACTCTAATACCTTAGATGCAATCATTGAAAATGGATCTCAGCTTAACAATACAATGCAGAGTAAGAACTACTTAACATCTGTTACCCTGCCTGACCGTGTTACAATTTTTGGCACTAACATAAATGTACATGTTAATGAAGTTAGTCACAGAGAATTAAGTAATTTAACTAAAAGCAAAAGGTCTTTAGAGACCTTGATTTTAAGGAACCACACTGAGAAAACAGGCTTTTTAATGTGGATTTCAAGTTACTGTATAGCTTGTATTTATCAACAAAATACAAAAGTAAAGCAATTGTTTTCTCTTCTGACATTCTCTTCTGAAACATACAATACATATTCATGGTGCAGATAGTCTAGAAGAGGAAATTAATAATATTCAAAATAGACAGGAATGTCAGACTATGGAATATGATATACAATTTATTTGCTGTTCACGTAAAATTACTGAAACTGAAAGGAAACGCATCTTGAGAAAACAGAAAAAAACATATGTATGACAGCATGGAACCTGTTGCCAGTTGGTGTATTCAGTATTGTTTTCTGTATTGCCAATCATTCAATCTGTTTTAGCCCAGTTGCTTTGCAAAGCAGTGGTCTTAATGATAATCACTGGAGATTTTATCTTAACTTGAGCATGTCATGAACAAAATAATAGAGAAACATGTTTCATACATTTGTACAAGGCCATTCAGATTGATGAGTGGGATAACATCATGATTATTAATAATTGAAAAAAATAAACAAGTTTCTGGCTGAAACAAATTTTGGCAGTTGTGTTAATGTGTATGTACTCATGCCTTCAATGTTATTTATTTTGCAAATAAAGCAAGTTACCTAAAGTATCAAACTTAAAGTATTCTTCTGGTAGAGAGGCCTGTGGTTGTGGACAGAGGTTTTCTGCAAGTATTTACTCTTTGTCTATATTCTAGTAGAGGAAATTAATGATATTATTCAAAATAAACAGGAATGTCTGACTATGGAATATTATATACAATTTATCTGCTATTCATGTAAAATTACCAAAATTGAAAGGAAACAGGGGTCTAATTTAGGACCACTTTTGTTTATAATTTATATGAATACAGCTCCTAAAGCTATACACTCAAGCACCACTGTACAACTGTATGCTGATGATATGAAATGCTTCAGAATCATAGATAACACCAATGATGTTCACCAACTACAAAGTGACCTGTCAAATCTTAATGATTGGTCAGCTGATCACTTCGTGGAGTTTAATTCAAAGAAATGCAAATACCTTGCAATCATAAGGAAAAAGAATATTGTCGATTCAACCTATACAGTTCATGGCTCACAGATTATGTCAGTTACAACTGAGAAAGACCTTGGTGTGCATGTTTCTACCAAGTTATCTTGAAATAATCACATTGACATCATCATCAGTAAAGCCAACAAGATGCTGAGCATGATCAAAAGAACTTTTACCAATGTATGTGATCAGAAAACATTGATAATTTTACACAAATCACTTGTTCAATCACAGTTGGATTATGCTTCACAGGTCTGGTCACCCTACACTAAAGAAAAGATTACTGCACTTGAGCGTGTACAAAGATGTACAACTAAATTTATCCTGAAAACTGACTTAAGTTATCCTGAGAGACTTGTCAAGCTGAAACTTTTACGTTTAGAATATAGAAGAGAGATATTGGATCTTTGTTTTTTCTTTAAGTGCATGAAAGGTTATATTGATTTCAATGTTTTGTCATATGTAACTTTTGAGACACCCAAATATATCATCAGTATTAGTGAAGATACACTGGTGAGAGGCCTTTTTAAAACTGATGTTTTTAAGTTTTCTTTCTTCAATGGTATTGTAGACCTGTGGAATTGCCTACCACTAGATATCAGAACAATTGAACATTTCTCATCATTTAAGAAGGCAGTATTAATAAATTTTATTGTAATAAATTTAACGTAAAGAAGGATAGATTTTTATAATTGATTAATAATATATTGTCATGATGTTTCATACTATTTGAGCAAACTTGTATAATTTTTTATGTATATATATATATATGTTTTAATTGAGGCAGTTTATTTTTATATGGATTATAAGGAATCCTCGTATTCTGTATAAACTGACCTAATTATTCAGATCTTGTGTTTTTTTTTTCATTTTTCTCTTTTTATTTATTTTAATTGTTAATTTATCTACAATTAGTATATTAAGATCTGTACAAGTAAAAGTTGAGTAAATAAATAAATAAATGAACACATCATGAGAAAACAGAAAAAAAAAACATATATATGACAGCATGGAACCTGTTGCCAAAAGGTTTCCAGAAGACATTAAAAGAAAATATTCAACTGTGGATGCTATAAAGAAGAAAGAATTACTTTCCCAACCCAATGAGAAATTAGTGAAAGCCAGATCGGTTGAATTGTGTATTAACCAGTTTAAGAGGAAAATAGGAGAAGGCCTTTATTTTATATGTACTGTCTGTAATCGAATACTTTATAAGAAATCAGTAATAACATGCATAAACAAGAAGTACCCTTGCCAAACATATTTCAATATTCAACAGTCATTTTATGGAAAACAGTATACATGCAACACATGTCATTCAAAGATCATAAAAGGAAAATTACCATATATGGCTGTAATGAATAATATCTATGGGGATGAAATAACCACAGAACTATCCTCATTAGAAAAACTAGAACAAATACAAATAGCTCAACAAATAGTATTTGAGAAGATTGTGGTCATGCATGAAGGACAACGGAGAAAAATTAAGGGGTGCAATATGCAATGTACTTGTAGAATGTGATCAGACATGTAATCAACTCCCTCATCCACCTGATAGATCTTATATAATAATACTTAAGCTTCAAAGAAAGTTACAGTCTAGAGGACATGTTTATTTTTGCTCAACGGTGCTTAGAATAAACTCTAAAAATTATATTTGAGATGAAAATTGGCGAGGAGCGATTGATAGAGCTTAAGTAAAATCTAGGATGTTTTCGGTCTCACTTTATGAAATCAAAAAGTCACAGAATCACTCGCTTACAGGAGCATTGTGCTGTTACTGGGAAGCGCAAGTGAAGGCCTCTGCGGCCTCTAGTTTTACAGTATTTTATACAGACTTTATTTAAAAACTAACAATGTTCTTCTAGGAATGTGTAAATAATCTCCCAACCAGCAAAGTTGAAAATGAAGGAAAACTTATCCATGAAAAATTCAAGCTACCCGCCATATCGAATCAGTAAACTTGCCTGAGAGTCACGATGTAAAATAGTTCTCGTGAGCACTGGAATGGTTCAAAAAATGTTCAAGCATTTTATACAATTTCTTTAAGAATCACAGCGTAAGGACGGATGTCGCCTTTCTGTGTGATCCAGTATTCCGCTCCAACAGGTGTTTTTGAAGCAGGGATGATTTGGACACTATCGGGATTGACACGATTCTGGAAGGCAATTTTGTAGACTTTTCCCTCATATCTGAATTCCTGTGCATAATACCACTCAACCATTTTTGGACAAGGGCTGCTGTAGATACCTGGACCGAACATTTCTCTGGGACCAGGTTTCAACCCTTGTTTGATTATGCTGACGGCGTGTTCGGCCTTCGTGCCGTGATACGAAACTGCCCATTCGTTTGGGGCCTCTTCAGTGCGTATGCCGTTTGGACCGAGCCATTCGTCACCTCCAGTGTATTTGCCATGAACTTTTAAGGCTATTCTATTCCAACCGTACGGTCGGTAATATTGATGCCCTCCTCTCATGTATTTCTTACCGTCATCTTCGACATTAGTGAAATCATAATCGTACTGGGGATCAAGCCCGCTAGAGTCGAGAAACGTCCACTTATCACAAGGCATCCACTCCGCTAGAATATCAAGACTTTGATCGTGACTTTTAGGAGCCATCAGAGCTGGCTGAGGTGCCATGGCGTAACTTGCTTCGAACAGTTTGCGTATGTCATTCGAAGGGAGGCCAGCGAAGATTGCTGAAAATCCAGCATTTAGCAAACTCAAATTTGGCATTATCTGAAGGTTTTCTATATGAACTTCGTATGCAAACGGAACCAGCTCGTCTTCACCGCAATGATGAAATATTTACGGCGTAATTATTTTACGACATTAGATATTCCCTTCCCGTTATTCTAGGAAACATTCCCTTGCGAAATGGCTTTTGGAATTCCTAGGAATGAAGGTGTGAATTTTCACGGTAAATTCGGACTGGGAATTCCTAGGAATTCCTAGGAATTCCCAACCATAACAACTCTGGTTCTAAAAACCTAGAAATTCCCAGAAATTCCTAAGGAATTTCCTAAGGAATTCCTATTGGAATTCCTAGGAATAAAGGTGTGAATTTTCACGGTAAATTCGGACTGGGAATTCCTTGGAATTCCTAGGAATTCCCAACCATAACAACTCTGGTTCTAAAAACCTAGAAATTCCCAGAAATTCCCAGAAATTCCAAGTTTATAGCCAACAGGACTTGGAATTCCTAGGAATTCCAACTCAGAGAACCAATGACTTTCCCTGAAAAGCTGTAAATCTAAAAAATTCCTAGGAATTTCTGGGAATTTTGGGAATTTTTAGGAATGTTTAAGAATTACTGGGAACTTTAAGCAAAAATTTGAGGCTAATGATATAAAATAAATACTTTAAATTAAAAAAACCCAGCTAAAATTCAAGTATTCAATGAAATTTATTTAGAAGCTTAATTAAGGCTTACATGTAAAATATTTTTGATTAACTATTAACATCAATGTGTGGTAATATTAGGATGGAATTTGATTTATTTTTCTTTTCTTGAAAACTTCATACGGATTAATCCTCAATTACAGCTATTCATATAAAATAGTTCTAATCAATCATTAAATTTGGTTTGACACAAATTGTGAATAAAATCTGTTGATTCTTTTCCATAAAATACAATATCTTAAGTTATATTTATATAGTTATATTCTTGGGAGTGAAGGGGCTAATTACAGACAAATAAAATTGATTTTTTGATTAAAATCTTGTTGTAACTGTAACAATAAATTAGAATGAAGTTATCCTAAACTGCAAACTTAGCTGCTGTTTGTACTGTTTGTATTTTTTTTCCTGGACTCACAATGAGTTGGCCTTGAATGAGGTTGTCAACAAGAACCTTGACCATTTTGTATCTGGATTCCTTGACATCTGAATTTGAAAAAAAATAATATATTAAAATATGTATGTTTAAAGCTCAGACCAGGCTTTTAAGATGGCTATGAGGAAAAGGGCATTCATTGGATTCTCAAATTGAGAAATCTCTGTTATATTGAGTGACTTTTATATTGGAGTTAGTACATCTCTCTCATGGATTTTACTAAAAAAGGGCTGAATACATTATTTTGTTTTTACCAAGGAGGGCGTCTTTATTTACTAAGGTTTGTTATGAATCTTGAATGTTCCCAAACGTGACTAGAGGAATCTTGAAACCTTACTGATAGGTTTATTTCATTGTAAAGCATAAGCTTAAGAAACTGCGGCATGCAAGTGACCGATTCGATTCTCAGAATTATTCTAGTTTCAGTTGCGCCGAGCGTTATGTAAGCTTAATTCAACCCGCTACATCTATTCTTTTATAAGATTTTGATCACAACGAATATCGCAATTTTTACTCACCACAAACTTTCAAAATCGTTGCTTTACAGATGGCCACTCGACCCTTGTTTGTACCGGTCCATATGTCAACTGTTGTCCCTTCTTTTAACTCCACGGCGCCAACGACTTTCTTCTCTTTTACAACACTCACGCTATTCTCGTTTTCCCATTGAACCACAATAAAAGCTATCTTTAGAAATGTTATATTAAGCAAAACAGTTGAGAAAAGCGATCAACCGATGAAAAGTACATTCAAAGATGAGCGCCAAATGGAGTCTTCTTTGTTTCCGATCACGGGCATGATCACGTGGATCTTTTAGGACTTGTCATTGGCTAGCAAAGTGAATCCGCTGGCTTGCCGATTGCAGTGTTAAGAGAAGCACCCAACTTTATTCTGACTTCTCCGACCGGTTCTCTGCTTCTAGAAGATGTATAGCTTGGTGATATAAATAAAGATGCGAGCTCACTCTATGTAGAAATAATCGACAAGAATCGATCGTATTACAAATGCACGATTTGTGGCCGAAAGTTGTCGAGGAAACAAAGACTCGAAACTCACTTGAGTTGTGTTAATGGCAAAGGTGAGAAATAACACAAGCCAATCACAGTTTTGAATGCGACTACAAATCGTCTTTTACCCTCATATTTATAAAAGAAGGATACCACATTCGGAAGTGTAAGAGATACATAGATGATCCCAGTGTACCAGTACCTAAATCTACAAAGCTTGACCGTAGCAAGCGTTCAGCAACACGTTCCAACACCGCCATCTCGATTCCTCAGTCAGTCGTTTCCACTGACCTTAAAGCAGTATTGACAACAGAGTAGAGTGCGTCTTACAAAGGAGAAACATTTGTACAAGAGACAGGAGTAGCTATATGCGATTACAGAGGTGCGTTGGAACTCTGGTCCACAAATAGTTATGCACTGCCCGAAGTATAAAACAATTTTGTTGATAGCTGACAGACAGAGAAGAACAACAAGTAAACTTAAGAGCTGTTATTACTGAAGTGTGACTAGCACTTTTCATTTTTATATAAAGAAGGACTTGTAATTTGCACTAAAAATAAAAAGATGTAATATTTTTTTGGGAGATCCAGTGATTGGGACATTTAAGAAATTAAGTTATGAAAGGAAACTTGGTTGGTACTTCTCACTACTAACAAGTCTTGTTGACAAATATTTTCAGATCAGAGTTTCAAATAAAGTAAATTGAAGACGTCATATAAAAGGTGTTTTTCCTCGAAGGGTACATTGACTACCTCTGTCTTGTCTGCATGCCAAATGTTTGCAAAGTGTGTGGATGATCCACAAGTATTGGAACTCTTACAAAAATGTTTTGTAAGAATAAAAACAGCAAAACAAATTACAGCAATTAGTCATGAAAATAGAGCAAAAAACTGAAAAAAAAGGAGCAACAACAATCATGAAAAAAGAAAGATTAATTAGGTGTTGAATTTGTTTGTCTAAGGCATGAAATTTCTACTAAAAGTATTGTCAACAAAAAGTCTCTGACAGCGTTTGAGGCAACTGAGCTTGACTGTTCCAAGGTTTTCTAACAAAGGCAACCAGTAATGTAGGTTAGGGAAGTAAGATAACAATGTAATTATTGTTAATTATTGTGGAAGTTGGCAATTTCCATTTAACATAACTGACAGCTGGTTCATGAGAAAATCCATATTAATGTAACTTAGTTTGAGTAATAAATTTCATGATCTTTAAGTTATAAACATGTACATGTATGTATATCTCTTGGTAAGTTTTGTATAGCATACCTTTTATTGAGCCAAAGTTTTAAGCCTCTGAAATTACTCTTTTTCTTAAAACCTTCACATTCAAGGTATTGACAATTTCTTAGAATTTATGTGGACCTCAGGGTATTAAAATTGCCTCAAATTCAATTCCCAGAAATTCCCAAGAGTTCCACACTTCTTAAATTATAGGTAGTTTGTAAAGCTAAGAATTCCTAGAAATTCCTAGGGATTCCAAGTCCTCACAAAACTGGAGTCTTCCTTTCCCAGAAATTCCCAGTAATTCCAAGCTTTTTAAATCAGAGTTAATTTGCATAGTTGGGAATTTTTGAGAATTCCTAGGAATTCCTAGGAAGGCTTGGAATTGTATCAAATTCAATTTTGCAACCTGATACAGTCTCGAGAATTAAAGGGTCTGAGGTTAAAGACTGCCATTGTGAAAAATGGGCTGCTAAATTGTCAGCCTTAAAGGAAAGTATTTTTTCTCTGAAGTATTCTAGTAATATGGGTAAAAATGATTCAAAATTGTCCCTTACCTGAGGTGATTCAAGTTGGTTGATAATGCCAGTTGTCGTTACTTCTGATCGTTGTGATATTTTTTCTTCAGGGGTTAATTCCGGTTGTTCCGAGCGCGCTTGCTCTGCTGGCTCGTCTGAGAGGTTCTCCCTAAAAAAATTCCTGCAAGTACTTGTGGAGTGCGAACCTCGGTAGGTGGGACCTCGCTGCTTTGAATACCCCTTATTTCCACCCTGAGTACTGGTGGTATTGCTAATCGTATTCGAAGCTCGAATATGATTGATCTCTGTTTGCAGCTCGTCCCCGAACAGCATCTTCGTGATGGGGACATGCGACGCGCACAGTGTAGCGTACTTAAAAATTTAGATTAAAAATTAATTTAAATTAATTAAATTAAAATTAAGTCGTACGTAAAAATTCCTGCCAGTACTTGTGGAGTGTGAACCTCGGTAGCATACATACATACATACATACATACTTTATTTGTCACGTAGGTCGATAAATGGCAGCTAAAAAGCTGATGTGGACCTACAAAACTAAAGAGTGTCTACAAAATTTAAATAATAACAATAACAAGTTGCGAAATTATGGTAAGTAAGAAAGGATGTAAGACCTAGTAATATAATATACAGTTGATTTACAGTAGTAATAAAAGTAATAAAATAAATAAAAGTAGTAAAATAGCTTTAATATATGTAATTTACAACGTCTTTATTTAGTCCCTGTAAACCATTAAATGTTATTTTATCTAAAATGTCGGATTTTGCTTTGAGAGCAGATTTGAAAGAAACAATGTTCGGTTTGCTCTTCAAGTACACGGGTAAGTTGTTCCATAGAACAGACGCATGGTGAGAAAAAGAAGATCGACGGAAGTCACTTTTAGGGCGTTGCACGAATAGCTTCAGATTGTCCCTTAGATTTCTCAACGGAGAGTGTTTAGTAAACAAAGAGCTTATAGCAGCCGGAGCTCTATTGTAAAATGCCTGATAGGATATAGTGGCAATCCTCTTTTTATAGAAATATGATAAGGACTTCCATTTTGTCGCTGCCAGAACTTCAGTATTGGGGGTAGATTCCTTTAGGTTAAAAATAAATCTCGCGGCTCCAATGTGAAGCTGGGACCTCGCTGCTTTAAAT